CAGCATTACTAAGAAAGCAAATTATAATAGATGGGAAAAGAGCAACAGAAAGGAGAAGAGGTACTGGAAAGTGAAGAGATAAAACAATTTGCCAATAACAAATCAATAGCAGAATATTCCGGACTGTTGTTACAAATGTTCAGAGCAGTTAAGAATGCTAAAGACAGTCATGGTGTTGGATTAAAGTGGTTTTAGATAGCGAATATATTTACATCAATTCCTTTCCCATAGTCCACATCAGCTATGCAACTAGTGGAGAAGTGCTCCTAATCACTGTGAAGATATAAAAGAGTGGCAAAAGTCACTGATTACCTATCATTGCTTGCTCTTTCTCCTGATGCCCTTGGCCTCTCCATTTGGACAGCAAATGGTGGGACAGAAAAGGAAAAAACCGCTGAACAGCTGTCATTGCTCTGAGCAACTCATGCCCTTATTGGCTGAGTGGACACAACAAGTGATCCTAGGAAAGAACAAATCAGTGTCTTGTTGCCTTCTTCTTCTGTAGTTATATCAGGCCAAGCCATCGTTTGTTACACTTATTTAGTAACAAACCATGCCCGGTTCCCTGCCTAAGCTGCAAACCATGGTTCAAAATCACAGTGACGGTATTCTAATGACACAGTAATCCATAACCAAACAAGCAATGTTATAATTAGCATTGAATATGCTAATACGGTGTAAAATAAACCTGCTGTACGAGGGATAGCCAACCTTGGCTCTTTTATGACTAGTGGACTTCAACTCCCAGAATTCCTGAGCCAGCCATGCTGAGGGGAAAGGGAGAGGTTTCCATGCTGGCTCAGGAATTCTGGGAGTTGAAGTCCACGAGTCATAAAAGAGCCAAGGTTGCCTACCCCTGTGCTATACTATCTATTTATTTCAGATTCATATTTTAATGTCAGATGCGAAAAAGGATAGCCATCATCATAACTGGCAGGCAATAGTTTAGTGGGAAGGTTTTATTCTTCCAAAGGAAAATAGAAAGAGAGAATGTGACTGCCATTTCTCCTGTGGGTTTGACTGGGAATGCAACCATCCGGATTTTTGATGCTAGCTCTGAATTGATAGAACCCCGAGTTGTCTTTCTGCTTGGACTTTGCTTCCCCCCCCCTCCACAACCTTGTGATGTTTTAAAACTTATGACTCTCATGAACATTTGAACAGGGTTAAAAATTAGCAGAAAGAATAGAGTTTCTCAGAGATTTTTTTTTTTAAAAAAAGGGGCTGAGAGTGATATGGGAAGTCTTGAATCGTTGGCACTCTTTTTGCTTTTCTTTGCCCTTTTTAACATTAGTTTAGGAAAATGGGGTCAGTCAACAATAGTCGTCAACAGTTGTTGACTGACTGTTGACTTGCAATTATTTTGTGTGATAAAGAGTTCTGGAAAATGACCAAATCTTACCATAGTTGTTTAAATGAAAGCAATCCAAAGCTTGTGGGTGCTATACCAGTGAAAATATTTCTCCTGATAGCTGGCACTGCAGCAAAGCCCCTTTCCCCCAGATATGCAAGCTATCCATTTGGCAGATCTAGCTATTTCTTTCCTAGCACATTCAGTTTGTACTCAAGGAGCAAGAGAAAGGCTTTCAGTCCTCAGCTGGTTACATTCTTGAAGCGATACCTTACTTGCGAAAGGTGTCTTTAAAATTAAATTTTAAAATTAAAACATTTTGCAGCAATAATAATAATAATTGTGCTTGAAGAATTATATGGATTTTTAGAATGAAGATGGCGGTAGTCCCTCTTTTCACTGGATTCCTAGCCATTGCCTTTAACTTTGTCTTGTGGGGCATTTAGAAAGGATATAGAAAGAAAATGATGGACATGCCTTCCCTGTGGTATTTTATCTTCCATGCAGCATTGGTCCATCCTGTCCTCTTACACTGCTGTTATGTCTGTTGCTTTTGGAGAACAGTATATCTGGCAAATACATACTGTATTCTTCCCTTTTCTGCCTTGTTTACTACACATATCTGTGTACCAATCATTTTTTGTTAATAATAAGGGAATCCTCCATACTACAATGAATTCTGTAATAAATGAAATGCTTTTAAAATATTCAGGACTGTATTTGATGAGTGACCAAAGGAGACTTTAGTGCGGAGACGAAGTGGTAAAAACCAACTTCCTATCCATTTCGTAAATGGAGAACTCTCTTTCAGAGAGTCTTCCTTTACATCAAGGGAAAGGAAAGATCTTGATGATCTGATGATCTTAATGCTGAATTAGCAACCTCTCAGAAGATCCCTTCTCCCTATAGGTGACAGAATTCTCATTTGCTGCTATCAAATAAACTGGCAGGGATGACAGATAAAGCTGGAATAAATTATAATGTGTCTGTCAACTTAATCATACATAAAGAGCATCTAGTAGATTTTTTAAATTGAAAATTAATATTTTGATAATCTGAACATACTTTTTTTGGTCATACTTCAGGGAATTGCAGGAGATATGAGAACACTTTTAGCATAATTACAAGAGTAAGAGCAAACTTTTAGTTGACTTCAATATTAAAGTACAGTAGAGATGCCTTTTTTGCAGACATTTCACCTCAGCTCCAGTGGGAGCTCTAATTAAAATAGGGACAAAATGGAATTGGGCTATTGTTATCTAAGAAATCTAATAAACCAACAGCAATAAAATCAATGCAGTAACTATTCGTTATGTGAATATATATATATATAAAAAAATATATAAATAAAGCAAAGAGCCTATTGTTATTATTTACTGTTGTTAGTTCTGTTCAGTGCTGGGACACATGCTTTGCATGTTCCAAGTCCAAAGTTCAATCTGTGGCACTTTCAGGGAATGGCTGGGAAAGACCCATCCCTTTGAGCCTCCCATCAGCACTTGCCAATCAGACTTTTACCTTAACTAAAAGTCTATATTCCATGTTCCTGGATACTTCCGAATGGGCGGTTCTATGTAACATAATATTTATTGTACAGCACTTACTCAACAGGAGTAAACTTGCAGAATGAGTTAGAACATGTGATGTTAATTCTGTCATTTATAACTTTTGATGAACAACACTGTTAATAATTACTGGTTATGATAGCTAGATACTGTTTTCATGATTAGAAAGAGCAGTTGGGAAATAGCAATAAAAGAGGACGGTTGTCTAATAATGAATTTACAATCTAAAAATCAGATTAGACAATATGGGACAGGAAGCTGGCTTTTGAGAGGGCTTCTACATGCCTACCTTGGTGTTACTATTAAAATGCATTTACGCTGTATTCCTGATTAATTTGTTTACGTCTTTTCTTCTATCTAGTATATTGCATTACCTTTTACATTTATTTCTCTCGAGACATACAGTAGGAATAATCTGTTTTAAATAGCGTATAGTGAGCGGGTTAAAATCATATTTCTAATATAAGTGTCAAAAAAAACCCTTATATATATATATATATATATATATATATATATATATATATATATATATATTTAGTTTTCACTACAAAATAAGAAAGCTGTTGCCAAGTTATATAGTTTTCATAATTGGAAAAACACAGAAGAAGGAAAAGAGGAGGAGGAGGACGTACATGTTGGGCTCCTAAAATAACCATGAGTTGGAATATAACAGAGGATGTTATGCTTGGATAAGTTAGTTGAGTTGTATTAAAGCGGTTGTGGTAATCATTTAAAAATGTCCCAAATTGCCTTTTAATGAATTACTTTTTAAAGAAATGTTTTCTCTTTCAGGTTCAAGAAGGCCTTTGAGTCAGAACCGTCATTACAGTCAGGAATTAATTATGCAGTCCTCCTCTTGGCTGCTGGGCATCAGTTTGATACCTCTTTTGAATTACGGAAAGTTGGTAATTATAGTTTACTGATTCACAAGCAAATCAAATTCAGTGACAAGATACCTGCCACCTTCTGTTTTACGGGAAGCAATCTCATGTTGGAAGTCACAGTTTCTTCTTCTTTTAGCCATGTCTTCATTTCAAATACATTTTCCATTACAAGAGCGTACGTTTTAGACTGCCCTATTGCTTTTATCAAGTGATCACTTTGAGCAAATTTGGTGTTTTAGGATTTTTTTTTCCCCCTACAGACCTGTAACAGCTCAGGGGTATCATTGAATAAAATGAACAGAGGTGGATGAACTCTGTTGATTCTTCTGAATAATTTTACATTGAACTTAATTTTCCAAGTAAAACATTTTGATCCAGTGAAATCTTCCTATTTCCCTTTGGTATATTCTATTTGAACAGCAAGAATTTATCTTGTTATAAATGTAGAATTCATTGTAATAGCTACCTACTATAACATTTCCATTCTTCCAGCACCATTAGGTGATTGGGTTAATACATGGTATTATGAATAATATCAGCTTTTGACCACAAATTTCTATTGTTAAGTGACACAGTTGTCAAGTGAGTTTTGCCCCATTTTACAACCATTCTTGCCACAATTGTTAAGTGAATCACTGCAGTTGTTAAGTTAGTAACGTGGTTGTTAAATGAATCTGGCTTCCCCATTGACTTTGCTTGCCAGAAGGTTGCAAAAGGGGATCATATGACCCCGGGATACTGCAACTATCATAAATATGAACCAGTTGCCAAATATCTAAATTTTGAGAAAGTGACCGTGGTGATGCTGCAGTGGTCGTAAGTGTGAAAAATGGTCATACGTCACTTTTTCCAGTGCTTTTGTAACGTCACTAAATGAATAGTTGCAAGTGGAGGATTGACTACCTTTATTGCAGGCAAATTTTCTAATTACTGAGAAACAGAAACACCTAAATTCAATTTTATAGACTTCCCACTGAGACCTTGATGAAAGAATTGAAGGTTGCTCCGTAGCAATATTTTGTGACATCTGTTGACAACACATTGTCATTTTTATCAGTTTCTGCTAGGTCCCCTGAAACCTCACAATTTTATCTTTGACCTTATCTCTGAATTTAGTAAAACCTGTACAGAAATGAAGAGGGAATCATAAATATATGAAAACAATGTTACCCTGAAATTAGGCAGTGGCTTAGTGTTTAAATTTATAGTAGTACTTTAGTAACAGCTTCTGCTGAGGTTTATTAAACCTATTAAATTTGGAAGATGTAAATGTCTATATTCCTCAGCCTGACAGTTTCTAAATGGGTTGGGGTTCTGGGTTTCAGAATTCCCACTGTTATAGCTAAAATACAATTTTAATTTCTTCAGGAGTTAAAATAAGCAGCCTGCTTGGGAAGAAGGGAAACTTGGAGAAATTACAAAGCTACTGGGAAGTAGGCTTTTTCCTGGGAGCCAGTGTCTTGGCAAATGATCACACAAGAGTGATCCATGCCTCAGAAAAACTATTCAAGTTGAAGACACCAGCATGGTAAGCAATACATTATTGTGTCACGAATGTACGTTTAATTTTCAGACATAGTTGCATTCTAAAGATGGGTGAATAAACCATTTTGAACACCATGTTGACCACCTGAGGATGAAAGTACACCGTACATAAAATACCTAAGTATCCTTCTGCTTCTTTTTTTTTCCTGAATAAGCACTTTGAGTTTTGATTCTGGATTCAAACTGTAAAATTCAGAAAAAAAGAAAATTAATCTTACTTAAATCCAGTTTAACAGACTGTTCTCCTTGTGAGTGAAAAGATGTTAAAAATTCTCCTTGCTGTCATTTTATGATCATCCTGAGTTTTGCAGCCCAGATAGGCTAGTTCTAGAGAATGGGGTAGAAGCCAAGCAAAAAGAAGAAGTAGATCAAAGAACCAGAGAATGGAGGTGGACAAAGAACAAACTTTTTTAAAAATGGACTGTCCAGTTTAATTCTATACATCTGATTCACTTGATACCTCTTGTAGGCAGATAATGGCCGTTTAGAATCTTTTATAAATAATTTAGATGGATTGTCAGGCCATGTAAAGATGGGTGCAGACATAGAATAGTTGGCGTCCATTTCCTTCTCTCCCCTTATTCTTGGTCACTCATAACCCTTCCAGTTTTAAATCAATAAGTGGGCAATGAGGAGTTGACGCAAGTGGTTATTTTACAGTGTGTAGCTTCTGCGTGATGTTTTGCTCAAGGCTATTTTGTTGGATCAATGAGAGATTTTGGTATGGTATTTACTTTTAAAAAGACACCAAGCAATATGATAGCAAGTAGGTCTGGAACAATGGTTCTTTAGCTGACTTTCAGGAAAAAACTATGTCAGACATTTTGCTGGTTCCAAGATGAGAAAAATGGATTGTAGTTGCTAGGCAACTATAATTCCCTGAGTCAATTTGAGTTCAAACTGTGATGGGGAGTGATTGAAACCAGATCCAGAGAAGAGATAAGAGAATCATCTTATGTTCCATTTCCATCTTTATTTATCCATACAGGCCTTTTTGTTTATTCAGGCTTCAGTTCAGTGAGGCATATTTCCATTTATGATGCATCCGTCTTTCTGGAAGTAAATAATTCTTAGCAATAACCACTAACATGGAAGTATTTTCTCGACTAAAAAAGAAGTGCACTTATTAATTTTAAGAATGGGAGAAAAATATGTTTCCTTCTGTCTGTAAAGTAGTAGGGAATCTATCCAGAACAGTGTGATTTATATTATCCTAAGCACAAGGTGGAAGCTATTACAAAACAACAACAACAATGAAGTACCAGCTTGGATGAAAAGAGGGCTCTGTCCATGTTTACCCAATCAGTTTTGTGATGCGCTTTTTGGTCTGTGTGGAAAAAGAATGTGGTAAAGATTGCAAGCAATAATAAAGAATGATTGCAAGCAATAATGTAAAAGGTTGCAAACTAGTGTTTGTTTTCTCCCGGTTTATCCTAGGTATCTCAAGTCCATTGTGGAGACTATTTTGATATATCAGCACTTTAAGAAGCTGAATCCAGATCAACAAGTAGGCAAAAATGAACTTGTAGACTTTTGGATGGATTTTCTAGTTGAGGCTACAAAGACTGATGTCTCTGTAATTAGATTTCCTGTAAGTATAATTTAAACACTGTTCATTTCCTGTTTGTCTTGCTACATGGTTATTTGGAAAGAGAAGTGTTTTAATTTGGAAGGCAATAAATTAAAAAAAACATAATTAAATTGATCTTTATTATGATACAGACATCCTGCTTTTTCTACAAAGAAAATGGTTCTTCTACAATTTTAGTTTCAATGTCACAACAATTCTGGTGAAAAGATTATGATTGATCTTTATTATGATACAGACATCCTGCTTTTCCTACAAAGAAAATGGTTCTTCTACAATTTTAGTTTCAATGTCACAACAATTCTGGTGAAACAGTTTGGGCTGTTACATCTTTTCTCTTGACAACAGATTGAAACATTTTCTGTACAATTCAATTAGTTTAACAGTTGCCTTATTAAATGTCGTATGAGTTTCCCTTCTCTCTATTTTTTGCACAGTTATAACAGAGCAATTGTGCAAATCAAGTGGGATAGAGTCAGATGTCATTTTCCATCTACTTACCTATTACAGTAATTATACCATTTTCATTCCATAAAGAATTTCACCACAACTGATGACACCATTTTCATTCCATAGTTGATAGCTATTGTCAAATCTATACTTTAGTTAAATATTACTCCAGTATTGTGGTTGGAACCAAATATTTTGTTTCCAGATTGTATATTCACCAATTGTATGATTTTGTACACAATACTTGGGCAAATAGGTGCCTTACTGTTCTTTACCTTTTCTTTTCACTATCAGCTCCATCCTGCTGCTTTTCCATACATGCTTTTTTATCATCAGATAAACCAAAATCCATGTAACTCTTGACAATTTATTTAGAGAGGTAAAAATGGCATTTTTATCTCATCTCTTATCAGACTTTTTATTTGTTGAACCAACAGTTTTCATGTTTTCTTTTAGTTTTTCCTCCCTGGAAAAAGAAAAAAAGGAATTGGCAATCTCTTTGCCTTCTTCTGTACAGAATTCAAAATTTATACTGAAATTAAGAAAATAGTAGCTACATGTCTCCCAATAATGTTGATTTAAGGTCTAGAAAATAATATTTTCAAATGATTGAAACCAGTATTAAATAACTGGAGAAATACATGAAAAGCTACTTCTAAAAAAGTTTCTAGTGACAAACGAGATGGGAGAGAAGCAGCATTCAGCAAATAACAGAATGTAGTTTTTAATTAAACTCTACCATGCACATAGCAAAATAAAAGTTTAGATTCTTACTACAGATTTTGTTGTATGCTGCATGCTATTTATTCACCGATTCTTTTTTTTAGATAACTGTTAATGCATAAACCAATGTATGAAAAAGTATAAGAAGCTCTGCAATAGAAGTAGTTGCCATAAATGGTTTAGCTCAGAGGTCCCCAACCTTTTGGGCACCAGGGATCGGTTCCGTGGAGAGAGGTTTTTCCATGGATCAGAGGGTGCATGGTTTTGTGTGCTGATGCATCTCACGGATGGGGCTTTGCTTGCTTGTGCGGACCAGTTGCTGGCATGCTGTGGCCCGGTAGTGGTCCACGGACCGGGGGTTGGGGACCCCTAGTTTAGCTAATAAAATTATAAACTATATAGAGAATACCCGCTACGAAGCCTTATAATGTGGAATTTGTCTGTATATTCCACCACAGTTTAATATCTAAATAGCTAGACATTTTGAGGAAACAATTATTAACTTTTATTTTGTCATTTTTGCTTGAAGGTTTTGATATTAGAACCTACAAAAATCTATCAACCTTCGTACTTGTCGATCAACAGTGAGGCTGAAGAGAAGACGGTCTCTATTTGGCATGTTATGCCTGATGATAAGGTAAGCTGCCTTCCTTGCATTTTGAGAAGAAAAAGGAAGATGTACGGAATGTTTCCTTTTTCTAGGTTTCATCTTGTCCCCAGATAATCACTCTGCTACAGTGCAGGAGCTAAAGGATTTACCGGTATTTTTTTTTTAGTAAAGGAAATTACTAAATACCAAAGAACCTTTGGTATTTGAGAACCAGGGCCTTTGGTATTTAAGGGAGAAAAGATAATGGAATATAACAATCAAGAAATCTAAGGAAGAGAAAGTAATGGATGAGAGCTGAATGCAACGAAATTTCATTTTAATGTATGCTGATTAGTGTACATTTAAAGTGACAATAAAGTTCTATTCTATTCTATTCTATTCTATTCTATTCTATTCTATTCTATTCTATTTGCCAGTCTGGTGCAGGAGTTAAGGCATCAGGCTAGAAACTGGGAAACTGAGTTCTGATTCCACCTGAGGCACAAAGACAGTTGGGGGATGATCTCTCAGCTCTGAGAAGAAGGCAGGGGCAAATCATTTCCAAAACTCTTGCCAAGATAACTGTAGAGACTAATCCAGGCAATCACCAGGAGTCAACACTGACTTTTCTTTTCTCAAAAAAAGAGAGAAAAGTATACCATGCCCATTTCAGGGTTAGAGGGCACTCTGTTAGATTATTGGCTCATCTAACCCAGTACTGTGTGGACCAATTTGCAATTCTATAGTGGCCTGCTATCTTCCCAAAAATTTAGACAGGTTTTTTCCAGGCCAGAATTAAATTGGAACTGTTTGCATGAAAATTGTTTCTTGATTTCAAATTAAACTCTTTCCATAAAGTTTTTAATCATGTTTATGACGCAGTTCCATTTTTTATTCTAACATTGCAGTGCTACATTATCAAGTAATTTCGTACCAGAGGTCCATGCAAATGAACTAGGATGAAGTGTATGAGTAACAGGGCTTTATCTTTAGTACCAATTAGAATTTTGGTTTCAGGTTTAGGTTATTATTAGAGTGAATGATACAAAAGTAAGACCTAGTTTTGGGGCGAGGCGCACGCCTAAAAATCAAGCTAGGGTAGGGGGAGTGGAGCTTACCATTGCAACCAGGCCTCCCATGGAACAACACTTGCCTCACCTCAGCCCACTTCTGCGGCCGAAGGAGCAGCTTCATTCTGCAGTTGAGAATGGAGCTCCGGCCTGCATTTCGCAGTCAGAAGCCTTTCCGGAAGGCCTCTGCAGGTAAGAACCGAGTTATGGATCTGGAAAGGCCTCTGACTGCAAAATGCAGGGCGGAGCTCCATTCTCAGCTGCAGAATGAAGCTGCTCCTTCAGCTGCAGAAGAAGTGGGCTGTCTGAGTGGGGCTGTGGGTGCTGCTACCGCGAGGTGAGTGAAAAAGACACACACACCCCGAAAATAAGACCTGGTGCCTCTTTTGGAGGTAAAAAAAAAAAAAAAAGACTGGGTCTTATTTTCAAGGAAACACAGTACTATTCAAGCCAGAACTGAAGAGAAAAGCTGAAATGCTTTAGATGTAAAAGGGCAAATGCCATCATTTCTGAAAAAAAAGAATTAAGTGAAAGAAATGATAGAAAACAGAAAATGTGATGGATTTCATGAGATTTTTTTCTTCTTAGATATTGGTATTTTGGACCAGTAGTCTGCAACATGGCAAGTTTGGTTCCCAGAATGCATGCACTATATTGAAATGCATCCATAGAACTCCAAAATTAAATATTAAAAAATGAACAATTTAATAATACCAAAATGTTATTGCCAAATTATATAGAATATTGGTGTTTTTGCTTGATTTTAGTATTCTCAAAAAAGTTTTGGGGGTAAGATAAAAAAAAATAATCAAGATTTAGTGAGATTTTTGCCATTTTTAAATTTGTTTTTTTTTTCTTTCATCTACTTTTTCTTTACATAGGTCTAATTTTTGAAACATTCTAAAATATAGAGTGAAAAATATAGAATACAATCCTCGTTGAACACTGTCAATTGGGACCAGAATTTTTGTTGCTAAGTAATGTTTTCATAAAATGCAATGTTACATGACAACACCACTTAGCGACAGAAATTCCAGTAATTCTGGTTGCCATTATTAAGCAAATCATTGCAGGTCATTAAGTGAGGACTTCCTATTGTTGCCATTTGCAACTTCCCACCGGTTTCCCCACGAAGTTTCTTTAATTAAAGAAGGCCACAAATGGCGATCACATGGCTGTGGGGATGTTGCAACCAATGTAAGTCAAAACTACAGTTGTTCAGCACCCTCATACGTTCGAAAGTCACTGAAAGATTTTGCTAAATAAGGATCACCTATATCAGTGATGGCGAACCTTTTAGAGACCGAGTGCCCAAACTGCAACCCAAAACCCACTTATGCATCGTCGGGTGCCGGGTGGGTGTGGCCCATTGCTGGGTGTGGTCCATTGGCTGGATATGGCCCATTGGGTGGGTGTGGCCAATTGGGTGGGCGTGGCTGTGGTGGTAACGGCAGACTGGGTGGGACTAAAAAGTTCAATCAATCAATTCCAACTTTGCAAGATCTTTTTTTCCCCACGAGAAGTTGAAATTGACTGATTGATTGAACCTTTTTTTTTTTTGCACATGGCGGCGGAGGCCTAAAGCGAAAAGGTTTTATAAAACCCAGCTGAAGGCCTAGGACTGGGGTGACGGCGCGCGTGCCCACAGAGAGGGCTCTGAGTGCCACCTCTTGCACCCGTGTTATAGGTTCACCACCACTGACCTATATGCTATTCAACTCTTCACTTCCTGTTATATTGAGCAAAATTATTATTGCAATAGCTCATAAGTAGGATAAACCTAGCATAGGTTTTGCTGACCAAATTAGTTGAAGTGACCATCTGTAGCATTTTGACATCTCCAAATTACATTGCTTCCTTACTAAGGAAGCAAGCATCCTGAGTCTAGAAGGGGTGGGCAAGCTTTAGAAATTAGGGGTACATACACATTTTTCTGAGGACCTTGACGGCCACAGTGGCAGAACAGTGATGTAAAGGGAGGAGAAGAAAGTATACATGGAGAGTATTTCCTAGCATCAGCTGCTTTTTATGTCAGCTTGTAGGAAATCTTTTTGTTTTATAAAAAACTTACTTTCTCTTTTTAGTCCATCTGTGGAAAACATGGGCAGTAGCTTTTTGATATCTTCCTGTTTCATCTTGGAGCAAATCTAACAACCATATTAAAATGAAGAATCATGAATTCCAGAGTGGGTAGACTCAGCTTTGATGACTAGTTAGCACAGCAGATATTACACCAATTTGGAAAGACTTTGCACATGTAATTATGTCTGTTTGGGGAAAACAAATGCATCCCTTCACATGGGAATAAGAGTAATTTAACCCAGTTGAAAAAATTTTTCATAAAGGCAAGGCAGTGTAGAAAAAACACTTCTACTTTACTTTGTTGTTCTAGCTTCCCTAAGGCATTTTTTATCTTAAAGATCAAGAAACCTCTAGAAACTGAGCTTCATTCTGGTTTACTACTTTTGGAGTTGCTGAGTATATTTCACTAGGCCATAATCTTGCAATGGAAGGTGCCCTTTCTCTTAACCACCTTGCATCACTTGTGGTCTCAATCCTCCCTCTCTATCTCCTCAAGAAGATCTAAACCTCTAGAGCAGATATAGGGGATAATACAGGAAGCTTGCAAGAAACAAGAGGATCTGCTTCATCTGTTGGTGGGCTGTTGGGGTATATGTCTCATGCATTCCTCAGATTATCACTGGGAAGAAATTCAGCTATGTGCCTGGCTTCATAAATTGCAGTAATAATTCTTGTTCCCATTTTATGGGTGTAGAACCAGAGCTTGGAGGATAGAAGTTGTGTATTCTTTCTTCTGGATCTCACTGACATACTAACTCTGCTGAACGTGGATGAGTGGCTTAAAAATCTAAGTCTGAATATTTATTTGACTTGGGTAGAATTTACTGACTTTTCCTGTCTGCTAAATAACATCTGAACTGTTTTGTGACGTAAGCCTGCCTCCAACCCCTAGCTGCATTACCAAAGGACATCTAGTATTGTTCCTTCTACTGCTCTAAGCGCTACCTTAGCCCTGGTTCTCGGTCTTACATTGGCTACTTAAATAGGTTTTCCTGTTGCCTCTCTTTTTATTAAGCAAATAACAGATGTCAGGCATGGACAACTTTCTTAAAATGTTTACACTGGTGGACTGAAAGTTTGGCAGGATCACCAGGAAGATTGTTTTTATTTAACTTCACCCTCTTATGAACATAGTAATTAAACAACTATTAAATTAGTTTTTTAAAAATATGTTTTTAAAGAAATAGGAATTCCTGAGCTTTCTTTTAATGGAAACTTAACTAATGAGAAATGTGTCTGAACTGTTTTTATAGTGTAATGCCTTTGTCTAGGTATAATTTTCACCTCCATAATTGTCAAGAATTGAAATGGAATCTCCAAGATACAAGGGTGGCTACAAGACTTAACAAAATGTCAAATCGAATTAAACCCGGAAACATTTCTCCTGGGAATACTTAAAAAGAAATTTGATAAGAAAATAAGATATCTGATTTTACATATTTAACTGCAGCAAGAATTGCGTTTGCACAATACTGGAAGGAATGCAATATACCACCAGAGGGATTGATTATTCAGAAAATATATGAATGTGCCGAAATAGACAAACTCACTTTAGAATTAAAAGAAAAAGATGATTCGGAATTTTACGCAGTTTGGGAAAAATGGTATATTTGGATAGACAATAGAAACAAAAATTGGAAATATACATAAGGCTATTGTGGGTTAGATATCGAATTTACATAGTGTATATATTGTACAAAATGTTGATCCAAAGTATATAAAAATGACACAGTCTGCTGAATATGTACTGTGTAAAGGAAAATGATATTATGTAGCTTTATTAAAAATAAAGTTTGTTTGCAAAAAAAATAAAAAAAAAATGAAATGGAATCTAACAAAATGACTAAGCAAATGTGGATAAATAATTGAGAAATATCTTGTTTGGAAAGGCAAGAGAAGCAAGCTAAGATAAGCTATGAAATAAGCAAAGAAAGAAACTTCAAAGATTCAGCCATGAGAAAAAAGACAGAAGTTTGATAAGTTCAGCAAAAAGGAGTTGAAACAACTTGATGGCATATAATCGATCAATCCAAAATATATTTAACAAATTCATAAATAAATGAGCAAGGCATTTCATAATTGCCAAGAAAATTGCACAAAACTGTACATGACATTATCAGGAGTCAAGCCTGACTTGAATGTAATGCCATGTGCAATTTTATTAAAGTGATAACTATTTTATAAAAGGGTAAATGTAGTAAAAGAAAATAATCTGCCAAGATTTTTAAGTTTTAGGCTGAAATATTTTATATCATTTAACAATTACATGCTATGTTTGTTGGTTTCTTATTATAGAAAGGTATTCATGAATGGAACTTCAGTGCTGAATCTATAAGAGGAGTAAGGTAAGTTTATTTATATTTATTTGCCTGTGACATCTTGATACTGACTACTGATACTGACTATTCTATTCAATCCTTGTAATAACTCTGTAATCAAGATGAAAGAAAGTGACTGAATTCTATGATATAACCCAGTACAGAGTCCACAAATATGTCTTTAATAAGCAAAGAAAAATTGCAGCAGTAAAATATCCTAAAACTGACCTCCAGTTATTTTCTTCTCATTACTTGTATCTTCAGGAGAAAGATACTGATCCATGGAAAGTTAGCTGGATAAATTAATTAAGTCATTGTATTAATTGGGCTACTAAATCAGATATCATTAAGTAACAGTGGTACTTAAAAATTAGTGAGAGACGGAAAAACATTACTTTAGTCGGGTTTTACAAAGATTGCGAAATGTAATCTCTGGGCATGGAAAAATCTCTACCACATTTATAAATATTCTAAATAATGGTGTTATGGAGCAACCATAAAATAGCCCAAAAGAGAAAACACTGAATCTATTACTAAGTAGTGCACAGAATCTTGTTCAAGACCTAAATGTTATTGAATCAATAATGATCAGAACTCTGTAGCCTTTAATGGACATAAATTAAGTGTTTGCCAAATAATGCAACAACATCATAGTTGACTTCAGAAAAGTAGAATAGAATAGAATAGAATAGAATAGAGCTGGAAGGGACCTTGGAGGTCTTCTAGTCCAGCCCCTTGTTCAAGCAGGAGAACCTATACTGTCTCAGACAGGTGAATGTCTAGTCTCCTCTTAAAAATCTCCAGTGATGGAGCGCCCACAATTTCTGGGGGTAAGCTGTTCCACTGGTTGATTGTCCTCACTGTCAGGAAGTTTCTCCTCAATTTCAGGTTGTTTCTCTCTTTGATCAGTTTCCAACCATTGTTTCTCATCCTTCCCTCTGGTGCTTTGGTGATCAACCTGGCCCCCTCTGCCTTGTTGCAGTCCCTCAGATACTGGAACACTGCTATCATGTCTCCCCTATTTCTTCTTTTCTTTAGACTAGCCAAACCCAAGTCCCGTAGCCATTCTTCATATGTTTTAGTCTCCAGGCCTTTGATCATCTTAGTTGCTCTTCTCTGAATTTCTTCCAACCTCTCAACATCTTTTTTGTGATATGGTGACCAAAATTGGCTGCAGTATTCCAGGGGTGGTCTTACTATGGCTTTATAAAGCGATAATATTACTTTGCGTGATCTTGATTCTATGCCTCTGTTTATACAACCCAGGATTGCATTAGCTTTTTGGGTTGCTGCTGCACACTGCTGGCTCATAGTCAAGTGATCGTCCACTAGGACTCCAAGTAAACTTTAAAAGAATGAGATTAATAAAAAGGAAATTGATAGACAGTCAAGGACCAGTTCTCTTCACAGTGCTTGGAGATTATTCATCTCCAGTAATGAAACCATATTTAGGATATTCATCTCAAATCAGCCCCTTCCCTCTGGAATAAGATTCCTTCAAGAATCAAACAGCCTATAGCAGTGGTGGCGAACTTATGGCACGGGTGCCAGAGGCAGCACTCGGAGCCCTCTCTGTGGGCACATGTGCCATTGCCCCAGACTTGCCTCCCCCCATGACCCCCTCCTCTCTAGCAGCCCCCCTGAAGGAGAGTCGCCCTCGAGTGTGGCCCACACGGAGCAGCGCAACCAAGGACATGGCAGCCAGGCAGCGTAGACAAGACTCTGCCCTCACACCCCATCATGCAGTTGATGCTGCAGAGCGTGGGCAGAGGGTGTGGCCGCCATAGCGCTGCTGGGCTGCCTGGGCGATCTGCAGCGGGCCCTGGAGGCGGTGAGTGGTCCTGTGGGTAGGCGGGACAGGGGATGGGGATGGGGGGCAGAGCAGGGGCGGGGCCAGTTTTGGGGCACTCGGTCTCTAAAAGGTTCGCCATCACTGGCCTATGGGGATTTTGAGGGACCTTTGGTGAAGATAGTTGACTCCCCTTTTCTTCCATTCTCTTGTTCCCATCTGGATTTGTTTTCTCTGCCATGTTTGTTTCTTTATTTTGAGTTTGTTGTTAGTTGTTTTCAAATGTTTTTAACAAATTGTAAATTGCCTAGAGTTGCTGGGAGGTGGAATTACTAGTATTATTATTATGAAGGCTACCACAAAATTAAAAAAAAAAACACCCAGATATCATCTTTGAGCAAGGCCAGAGATAATATCAAAATTAAGAAAGTTTCCTTCAGGAAGTGAATGTTTTACTAAAAGCAGAACAAAACAGAAGCAAAATTCTGCCCCAAATTATGCTAGCTAGTAATAAAAGTTACCCAAAAGAGACTTGAGAAACACACGGCAAAGAACATTAAAGTAAATGATTAAAAAAAGAAAGCTTCAGATGTATTTGGAATAAGAAACTGGCCAGATAAAAGTTAAAGGTTGTGAAATGGAGAGAGCTCCCTCTCTCTTACAGAAAGCTCTTTATTATGGAACCCATACTGAAGTCAGGAAAATTGCAATCAAAAAAGGAGAAAGCAGCCCAGACTATAAACTTTGGGGCTGGTACCTTCTTATATTTATATTATATCTCTGTGTATGGCAGGTTTGTGTTGCTTTACAGTACACAGAATTTGTCTATAAAGCTTCCTAATTCGCTGCAATAAAAATACTTACCCAATCTTGTTTCTTTTTGTTAGTGTAAGCCTGAAAGATAGTTTTATAGCCATCTGTGGTATGAAGCCCTGATAATATGAAAGCATTAAAGGTGTGTTAAAGTAGGATAGAATATTATTCTAAATAATAAATAAACATGTGTGTTGATGATGGCTTATTCTGGAGGTGTTTGAAACAAACTAAGAATACAGAGGTAACAAGAAAAAAAATTGTACAACAAATTGAAAAGCTAAAATTAAATAAATGTCCAGGCAGGCCTGGAATGGTTCTCAATGAATTTAAATACGAATGTGCTGGTTTTCTTCACAAAAGTATGCAACTTCTCTTTTAACACCAGCAAAATTTTAAAAGAGATTGAGGAAAAACAAAGGAAGTCATAGCCCAGTAAGTTTAACATTGCTTCTGCAAAAATAGTTGGAAGTATTATTAAAGAAATAATAAGGAACAACCCTACCTCCAAATACAGATCTTTGCTGATAAGAAATCAACATAGCTTTTGCAAAAGAGAAATCTCACTGACTTTCTAGGCTTTTTTTTAGAGTAGAAATAAATATATATGCAAGGATTACCTAATTAATTATGTAATTGGACTTTGGGCAACTGGTGAAAAAAACAACAGGAAACTCAGTAAATGTTCATGCAGGTCAGATATCTAGATCCCATGGATCAATATCAAAGTAATTTTTAACCCTTATATACAGTAAATTATATTATGTTTATTGTTAAGAACGTTGTAGCCTTGTTTGCTGAAGTAGAGCCCTCCGCTGGGTAAAGGATCTTCAGAGTGGCATTGTAAAGCGATGCATGTTGGTACAAACCCAAACTTCACTTTTATGTTAAAGGGCTTTGAGATGGCAATGACTATCCAAGAAAGGGACCTTGGAATCATAGTGACTTAGACAGGTAATCCTCGACTTACGACCACAATTGAGCCCAAAATTGATCCCTAAGTGAGGCAGTTATTAAGTGAGTTGTGCCTCATTTTATGACCTTTTTTGCCACAGTTGTTAAGCGAATCACTGCAGTTGTTAAGTGAATCATGTGGTCATTAAGTGAATCTGGCTTCCCCCATTGACTTTGCTTGTCGGAAGTCAGCTGGAAAGATTACAGATGATTTTCACACGACCCTAGAATAGGGCAACTGTCACGCCAGTTGCCAAGCGGCCAAATTTGGATCATGTAACCACAAGAATGCTGCAACAGTCGTAAGTGTGAAAGCCAGTCATAAGTCACATTTTTCAGTGCCGTTGTAATTTCAAATGGTCACTAAACAAATGGTTGTAAGTTAAGGACTAACTGTAGAATGTTATTTTAAAAAATCATATTCCATGCTTGGAACCATTAAGAATGGAAATGGAAATAGAACTGCCAATTTAACGCCCTTATATAAATCTATGGAATATGATCTACTTACCAGTCATCATGCCTCAAAATTGGTATTATGGAAGAGGACAAGGCATAAAATTGCTCATCTTCAATACTTTAGCTTGGAAATGAAAGGCGCATAAAGGGAGAGATAATACAGCTACATGAAATCACACATGATATATGCAACATTTGTTAAGAAATGCTTTTATCATTGTGTCACACAGAATTTATTTACTTATTTTCATTTATTAATTTTACACACTGCCCATCTCACACATAAGGCAACTCTGGTTAGAAGTGTTAGAGCTCCAGGTTGTCTACTAAAACTAAGTGCAGGGAGATTCTGATTTACAGTGCAGAGCTGAGCTGAGCTGTAAAAATGACTTGTGGTAGGTGGCAGGCAATTTAAATGACTTTGAAAGTGGAATTGACAAGTTGCGTGGAGGATCAAGTCTCAAAGGTGCATTTTCAAAAGGCAATTGGACTATTTTTTTTTCCTTGAGGAAGTAGACATTTTGCTTCTCATCCAAAAGCTTCATTGATTCTTTGATGAGAAGCAAAAATCTTCCTCAAGGAAAAAAACATAGTCCAGTTGCCTTTTGAAAAAGCACCTTTGAGAATAGTCATGACCTAGATCAGTGGTGGCGAACCTATGGCACACATGCCAGAGGCGGCACTCGGAGCCTTCTCTGTGGGCACACACACTGTTGCCCTAGCCCCGCCTCCTCCCATGGCCCCCTCCTTACCAGCAGCTCTCCAGAGGAGAGTCGCCCCCGGACACGGCCCACGCAACGCTGCGCAACCAAGGACATGGTAGCCAGGCAGCAGGGACAAGACTCCGCCCTTGCACCCCATCGTACGCAGATAATGCTGCAGGGCATGGGCGGAGGGCGTGGCCACCATGGCGCTGCTGGGCTGCCTGGGTGATCTGTGGTGGGCCGTGGAGGTGGCGGATCGTCCAGCAGGCACGGCGGAGTGAGAAAAGGGTGGGGGGTGATTTTTGGGCACCCGGTCTCTAAAAGGTTCGCCATCACTGACCTAGATGACTGAGAATCTTCATAGTCCTGGAGAATCAAGCTATCAATAACTACTAATGCCAACTGCATTATTGTTTAAATAGGTCTAAGAAGCAACTGTGGAAGGAGGATTCCACCCATTCCAAATTTGGGTTGTCATGTGACACAATATGCAAGATTAGGCTGTGTTATAGCCGGCTTGCCTTCTTACATTAACAATACAATTATATGCATCTTTAGGTCACCCAGACATCTATATATTTAATTATCTTCAAGTAAGAATGATTGAATTTAGTAAGGTTAGTTGCCGTAAGTTATTAGGCAAATTTCAAGTAGCATTTATTTTGGAAAGAGACCATTGAATATGAGATTGTATAGAATAGAAAAATATGAAAAAGATTGGTATGCAGTTGGAATTACCTGTCTGTAATATTTTAGTTATTTGCTGTTTACTATACTTCAGGTTAAAATATAATTCATAGATTAATTATGTGACAACCATAATTTAATGATGAAGTTTCGGTACCTTTTAAAGGAAAAAGAAAACAGTGACTGAAAGTTTGTGCTAGGGTGCCCTCCAATGGCTTCCAATATGTAGTCAGTTTCATACCATAGAGGGGGGGAAGTGCTCTTTTAGCCACAGGTGTTCATTTAGGGATTATCTTCATTATTCATTCTTGGTGGTTGATGACAATTCTATGAACTACGTGGAGTTCTTATGTGATTCATACACTTCCAAACCCAGATGATTCTCCCAGAGTTGTTTTTTTTTAAAGAAAACAGTTGCACTGGGTGTATAATTTTAATGAGATGCAGTCCATTTAAGTGAGGTAGCTACCTGTCTTTCTTCAAATAATTGATAGTGTCCTACTTAATATGATGTAAGTATTTTAAGAATACATTTTTCAGCTTGATTTATATGCAGCCATGTTGGTATACTTTTATAAACCCCCCACCCCCATCCCCCAAGTTTACAGACTCAGATAATCTATGAGACTAGAGAGAAGCTGGAAATGATAGCGTACTCATATTTGGGAGCCCCTAAATAAGGAATTAAGTTTTATTTTTCTGTAAGGAAGCAACCTGAGCTTCACTCAATACTTTTGCTTTATACAGTCTGAGGGAAGATTTTCTTCCTCTAGTCTAGTATATCCTCACTTATCTTCCTTCTTAAAAATAAGGACAAAATTACTCTGGAGCATTTTTTCGGAGATCGGGCATTTAAAAATTCTGATTTCTTGTAGAAATAGAAAGATTTCATAAAGTATAAAGACATATTAGTCATCTATTCTAATTTTATTTCCTTTTTAGCATTTCAAAGTTTGAAGAACGTTGCTGTTTTCTGTATGTACTACACAATTCAGATGACTTCCAAATCTATTTCTGTACAGAACATCACTGCAAAAAGTATGTGTTGATTACTATTTAATATTAAATAAATAAATAAATAAATACACTATTTATACAGCTTGAATTCTATTATTTGATAAAACATTTTAAAATCCACTATTGCATGAAAAATAATTGTATGGACTGAGATTATTTAGCAGTTTAATTTCAGCTTCTGAAGCCTTTAATCAATAGCATTCACTTTGTATTTATGACATGCATTCATGCTGGTTATTCCCTGGCTGACTTTTTCTGGGTTCAGAAACTAAGTAGAGTCAAGTTTAGTTGGATGAGAGACACCCAGGAAAAACACCCAGGTCTGTACTAAATCTTCCAAATATCTACCCATTCAAATTTATTTCTGTATTTTGAAGATTTGAAATAAATTATCTTAATTTTGAATGGCATCTGTTATAGATTATGCCATCTGTTACATAACCTTTCCTATATCTCAGAGTGCATTCCATCACTTTTTCTTTGTAAGCATTTATGAACAGATATGAAACTTACAAAAGCATTGTGTAAATCCAAAATTGGGCTGCAATTTATATTAAAATCCCTCTTTCAAGTGACCATCACACATACATTCTCAAATGAGGTAATCATTACGCATAATAATATTTATGCTTATTTATTTTTATCCCATTGTTTCTCAGCAAATTCAAGGCAGTGTACATGCTTCTTCTCTTTCCCTACATGTTATTTTCACAACCCTGTGAGTTATCTTGAGCTGAGGGATAGTGATTATTTTAAAGGCATTCAGTGACTTTTAAAGCTCTCCAGGGATTTGAGTCAAGGAATCCCTTGTTTTATTCTAGAATTCTAACTCTTACTATGTGCTGGGTATGTTGTACTTGCCAAAACAATATGTGAAATTGTATATTGAGATACAAGGTACAGTCTGAAGGGGATCATATCAAAATAGATGCCCAGAATTTCTTTTGTGAAACATAGCTGTGGCATCCATCAGAGTCAGCTGAGATTACTAATCACCAAGTTTTATTCTGTTCATTGTTCTTTTCTTCTGTATGAATATTATATGTCTTTGGCAGATTTTTTGAAATGGTTAATAGCATCACCGAAGAAATAGGAAAAAACACAGAGGAAGGTGAATGTGATGGAGATTCCCTGGAGGTAAAGGCAACTGTGTATTCTTCCTATTTTTCATACTTTCAAAAACTCCCTAGCAAGTTCCATTTCATAACCACAACCTTATCTGCTTTCTAGATTTTCTTCTTGATGCTGCTGTATTTCACGTGTTTATTAACAGGAATGGTGGCTATCATGTTTTACAACCTCATTCTTCTTTTGCAGTATTATCATAACCCATTACAAAGCAAAAGCAAGCCACGTTAATGTATAAACCTGTTGCAGGTAGATGAATGTTTAAAAAAACCTCTCCAAACTCTAATATTTATATACATTATAATTTGATATTTAGTCACCCATTGAGCATAAAGGTAGTCCTCGCTTAGCAACCACTGTTGGGATTACCTTGCTAATCAGGGCAATCACTAAGTAAAACATAATATAACCATGATGGACTTATGACATTACTTCCCATTTGATCATTCAGCAAATCATCGCAGATTGTTAAGCAAGGTATCAAAAGATCGCAACTTGCGATTTTACTGCCAGTTTTTCCAATGACTCTGCTTGTTGGAAGCTGGTTGTGAAGCACACAAATGGCAGTGATGTGACTAGAAGACATTGCAAAGTTGAAAATGCCCATCAGTTATGATGTGCCTGAATTTAGATTACATGACCATAGGGACGCTGTGACAGTTGTAAATGTGAGATCTGGTCATAAAGTTACTTTTTCAACACTGTCATAACTTCGAACAGTCATTAAAAAGGCAGTATGTTTAATTAATGGCTGCCACTTAGAAATGTTTAGATTTTCTTTTGTTAAACATTATCAAAAAGATTCATGGGAAATATATGGATCAGTGGAAAACAAACTATCACCAAAATTGAAGTTAAATTTTTAAACTGAGATTGTCTTATAATCCTCTTTAGTGACTGCCTCATTTAATGACTGTTCATAGTTACAACAGCAATAAAAAGGAACTTTAGAACCAGCCCTTGTATTTATGGCTTTTGTAGGTGTGTAAACAAAGGAAAGTTGAAGTAAGATCATGTGCACAGTCATGGTTTTACTTAACAACCTCTTTGCTTAATGAGCAAGTTGCAAGTTGCTAGTCCCCGTTATGGTCCCAAATGACGACTACCTTTTATGAGATTCCTGTTCTCCTGGGAATGCTAATTCACCATGGAAAGATGAAGTATAGATTTAAAAAATAAATACAGATTACACAACGACACTGACTTGACGTTTAGATGGGATGTTGATTCTCTTTGGTTTGAACCACTGTTGAATCACGTCTTCCCAAAAGATAACAGTATTTGTATTTGACAGATAACAGAATGACATATCCCTTCCTTTTTGTGTATTTTTTGTTATAGTATGATTATGAATATGATGAAAATGGTGAACGAGTCATTCTGGGGAAAGGCACTTACGGCATAGTTTATGCAGGACGAGATCTGAGCAATCAAGTCAGAATTGCCATTAAGGAAATCCCAGAAAGAGATAGCAGGTATAGTAATAGTGAATGCTGACAGATGCTGCTATGTTTACAACTATACGGCTAATGCTCACCAGTGTTCTGTGGGGAAAAAACTAATAATAGATCTCCAAAAGTCTTCAAAAAGCACTTCCTTCTCAAACATCAACCATAGACAATCAGAAAAGATTCCTGATGGTACTGTTGAACCATCACAGTAACAGTATGAAAGGAGTCTTCCTATCCTTGTTCATATCACACAGCTGTATGTAGGTTACTGCAGCTGTGTCCAGAGACTCAAGAAATAGAATTACACATGAAAGACAATTGCTGCATGAATACAAAATGCTTAATTACAGGTCACTTAAACATGTAGTATTTGCGTTTATGCAGTGTGCAGAGTAAGCCTAGTTGGATTTAATATTGGTTAGTTTTTTTTTATGGCTATTTATGTTCTCTTAGCTTCTGGTTCAGTGGTTAAGTGCTTTCTGTATGTAAGTAAAAAAAGTACCTTAAGAGATTATGAAATGCATTTCCCATCCCTTTTTAACCAGGAGATGATTTGAAGCACAGAAATGGCATGGGTGTTTTTAATCCTTTCATTTAGCTGGCCATCTGGCCAAACAGAGAAACTGAACCAGACTCTTTTGCAGATTTCCTGAAGTGTATTTATCCTTACTCATTTGCATGTGGGACTTTGCTGGGGGGAAAATGGCAGGGGGTGGTGGCAATGGGGTTGCACTTATAAAGCATTAAATACTTTTCTGTTCTCCCCCATTAAGTTATTTTCTTCTAGCTGTCTTCCCCTGCAGCAACTTTTGTCTAACAAAACCAGTGATACTTTTGCCTACACATGCTTGCTTTTAATGCTTCTGGAACTTGATCTATACATTCCCATAATAGGAAATAAGCAAAATAAATGTATGGGCTGATAAATATATAATGCAAATCACACAACCCTACGACATTAGATCTCTCACAGTGAACCCACAGAAAGTATACTTGCACCACTTACAGGCAGAAAGAAAACAAAGCTGGAAATCTCTGTAGAGAATGTAAAATTCAGAAACAGCCTTAATCTCCCCCAAACCAATGCACATAATAATATAGAATGTACAATATAGAATGTAGTCTATAACCAGGGGTAGGCAAGCTTGGCTCTTTTATGACTCGTGGACTTCAATTCCCAGAATTCCTGAGCCAGCTTAGCTGGCTCAGGAATTCTGGGAGTTGAAGTCCACGAGTCATAAAAGAGCCAAGCTTGCCTACCCCTGGTCTATACAAATACTGGTAGTCCTCAACATAGGACTACAATAGAGCCCAAAATTTCCGTTGCTAAGTGAGACATTTGTTAAGTGAATTTTGCCCCAGAATTTCCTGCCTCAGTTGTTAAGTGAATCACTGTAGTTGTTAAATTAGTGACCTGGTTGTTAGGTGAATCTGGCTTCCTCGCTGACTTGGCTTGTCAGAAGGTCGCAAAAGGTGGTCACATGACCCCGGAACATGGCAACTGTCGTAAATATGAATCAGTTGCCAAGCATCCAAATTTTGATCACATGGCCATGGGGATGCAGCAATGGTCATAGGTGTGAAAAACAGTCGTAAGTCACTTTTTACAGTGCTGTTTAACTTTGCGCAGTCACTAAACCAGTGGTTCTCAACCTGTGGGTCGGGACCCCATTTGGGGTCGATGGACCATTTCACAGGGGTCACCAAGCAAGGCTGTCCGCCATTTTTTTGTCCGCCATTTTTTTCCCCTTTTCCGGCGGGTGCCTTACCTCCCTTGGGCTGGGCCAGCTGGTGGTCGGCCTGCTCCGTCTCTGCCGCTTGCCAGCTATGCCTCGGCCGGCGCAGGGGGCGGAACCACACATGCGCAGCGCTCGCGGGCAGGGAAAGTCCTCGACTTACGACCGGTTGGGTAGTCCTCGACTTACAACCAGTTTAGTCCTCGACTTACGACCGGTTGGGGTCGCGGCATTAAAAAGGTTGAGAACCACTGCACTAAACGATCTGTTGTAAGTCGAGGACTACCTGTATATACAAAGAGACTGGCCCAGATTGCTCTTCTAACCCTCTTAAAGCACGTTTGCAGACATAAGTGATCTTGCCTTTTCCAGTTAGTTGCCTCGCCTTCGTGTGTCAACAACATGTAATCTGAAATGATTCAGTCAGTCATTTGCTAGACCTCCCAGACACCACAACTTTCCCAGTACCTCCTGTTTCCTCTCCCCAAGGATTATTTAAAAATAATAATAATCTGGATAATTGCCATACCATTTCTGCCCCTTTCTGTCCTTCTGTATGTGTGTGTGGAGGGAGAGACCCAAAATGACTATAGAGGTAGAATGCCTAGAGAAGCCTTATTTTGGGGAGGTTTCTCTTAAGATTATCTTATGATTATTGGAAGGGGCAGTTTATTTTTGGTAAGTAGTTTACTTGTTGCAGGGAAAGTTAGTTTAACCTCAGACTAGACTAGATCTCTTAAATCTAGGTTAACTTAATTAAAATAAAGTAACTCTGTTTTTACAATCATACCAAATTCAGTCCTCTCTCTGTTTAGTTAACTTTGTAATGTGAATAGGACCAGAATTTCATACTATCGAAAGTTGTACGTATATAACTGCAAAAATTCAAGGTGTATAATCACTGCAGCAATTCCACTGGTGGCTAAAATTTGTGAAAATAACAGCCAGGTACTTGCAAATCCTGATAATGAGTGGTAAAACTATGAAGTGGTAGCTGGCCCTTTTAGTAGTTGTATTTCAGTATCTAAAGAAACCAAGACTAATATGAACAACTATTCAAATAGCTAAGTGGGAATAATAATACTTAGATACTCGTATATTGTTGAATTGACTCCAAATCTCAACTTTGCCAGAAAAGCACAGAAGAATGTGAAATCTGAATTTGTTTCAATGAAAAGGAAAAATTGTTATTGCACTTAAGAAAACATCCATGGTTGACATATCCTATAAAACACCCATTTCAAATTTATATTGGATTACTTCACCAAAAGTATGAGATGAAGTTGTATTTTTCTGTACTAGTAAGTTATTGATTTAGTCCGTTTTCATGCCTTCTGCTTTGCTATTTGTTCTGTGTTATGAATTTTAAGGAATATATTTCCTTTGTACAAACATTATCTGGACAATTTTCTATGCTTTTTTATTTTAAAGTATTGTGGTCTGTAAATTGTTGCGAGTTTATTTATAAATTAAGTATTATATAATAAATTCCCTGGGACGAAAACTATGGGACTGAATCAAGCTAATCTGCCTTTTATTTTAGGTATTCCCAGCCTTTACATGAAGAAATAGCTTTACACAAACACCTCAAACACAAGAACATTGTTCAGTATCTTGGCTCATTTAGTGAAGATGGATTTATTAAGATATTCATGGAACAGGTACCAGGAGGTAAAACATTTGTAGGTTTAAAGAATACATTTGTATTGTTTGCTATCACTATATTTTCTGTCAACAACTCCCAGAATTCGTAGCCAATTGCTAGGCCAGCAAGTTTCATTTAGAAGGTTGTAAAGCTGTTTTTCTTCATTAACATTTAGAAAAATGATGTTGTGTGAAATATTATCCAGAACTGACAAAATTTGCTTTTCAATTCACTAATCAATGAGGTAAAAGCAATAAAATATAACATTTTGAAATAGAATAAACCAGGGGTGTCAAACTGTTGGCCCACAGGCCTGATGCATCATAACGAAATCGTGCCCACCCCACTGCTGGCAATGGCAAAAAAGTTGTGATATGTCACGACATGTCACGTGGAATAAACCATTTGCTTTTGTTTTATATTAGGGAAAAAATGGAAATAGTTCTGAAATAATTTTTGTAATAAATTGTATCCAATGATGCCTTTCTGCAGATACAAAGTTTCCTCCAGTACAGTTAATTCTTGTATCTTTCCTCTGCACACTTCTAGGTTTGTTCTGTAGGGTTGAGGGAATTCAAGTGGGTTTAGGCAGAGGAAAAAAAGATAAACTGTTGTACAGGTACAACTCTATCTGCCTAAGTTTGCATTTAACCTGGTATATTTATAATCGGAATATATTTTACTACAAAAGGTGCTAGTATTATAATAAACAGTTTTCCATTTTTTAAAGGAAATAGAAATACTACCATTCAAGTAGGCACTGCAGTTTACCCTTAGTATCTGTCTCATTTGAAACTGTTTTTCTTTATATTTCAGGGAGCCTTTCAGCTCTTCTGAGATCAAAATGGGGACCATTGAAAGATAATGAACAGACTATTGGTTTTTACACCAAACAGATTCTTGAAGGATTAAAATACCTCCATGATAATCAAATTGTGCATAGAGATATAAAGGTGGGAATTGCTATTTACTATAAATTATAAAGGAAAATTTCTTGGCAGAAAGAACTTGTACGAACGCATGTAAAATTATTTTATTATTATGAAATTAGTTCAACTGTACTCTGAAGGAAAAAAAGTCTCAATCCTCATTTGATCTTAGCAAATAGAGAAATCTGAACAGATATCCACTAATAGGAATGCATTGGAACTGATTTGGTTCTTAGAATCTTAAGACTAATGAATGATATGAAATGATGATGCATAAGATCTTTGCAATTAATTGGGATAGTGCAGCTGGAATTCTCATCTGAATTCAGCCTTGTTTAGTTGTGGGTTCTTCAAAAGGTTTTGGAAGAAGCATGGTGTCTGTCAGGTGCAAGGAACCAGAATGACACTGGAAGTTCATCAGAGAAATATGTTTATTACTACTCACCTATGAAATAATAGGAAATATTTGTAGCTCGGGTTTTAGATTTTGGCAATGGTTTGCTCTCCAAGCTTGTTTCAATTTATTTTCTGAACGTTTTGTGACCAGACTAGGTAACATCACATCACACTGGTACACAAGACATTTATAAGCTAAGGAGAATAGGACAAGAAAGTCCTGCTGATGATGTTACTTAGTCTGGTAACAAAATCTTCAGAAAATAAATTGAAACAAGCTTGGAGAGCAAACCACTCCCAAACACTATTCGCCTGTTAAACAAGAATCTCGCCAAACTAACTGCAGTCACCACAAATAACTAGCAACTAGATAACCACTGCGAGATTTAGGGAGGGTCTGCTTTCCGCCATTTCCTCCCCTTCAATGATTCCAGGTTAGCCAATCTTGTAACTCCTCCCTCTGCTTCAGCTTCAGATTGCACCACAGTGTCTGATTCATGTCCTTTTAAAATGGGCAGTATTTATGTAGCATAAAGATTGGTAGGATACAGTTATCTAAAGAAATAGTGATACACAGAGGATACTTGACTTGTGATTATTTTAACCGCTCCCCTTTTTCCTATATTAATTTACGTCAGGAATCAGAAGTCTTTAAAGATATGGTGGAATTCTCACATTAATCAATATGTACGAGTGAGAGGGGCTTACATACTCTTCATGATGGATAGTATCAAACATGGAGAATTCATGGGACACGATTTATTGTTCTGTCACTTTTCCATCCCATTTATTCATTTTTCTATCTTTTATACATTTTGCCTCAAACACTTTTTTTGCATATATTGCAATTCAGTGTTCTTTTTATAACACACCCAACTGCTATGGCTATGTTACCATGAGGTAGCCTGCTCAGGGAGCAATTGGAGAAGAAGGAAGAGGCCAAACCCAAATGATTCTAAAAAAAGATTGGAGTACTTTTCCTTCTTTGTCCTGGGAATTTTCTTTTTTCTTTTTTAATAAACTTTATTGGTTTTTAAAACATAAATCACATAATAGTTGATTAACAGTGTGTTTTCCTGGCTTACATTTACAAAGGAAAATCGTCAACAATATCTATAATCCATAATCCACGTATTCACACAAATGTTTTTTTCTTTTTCTTTTTTTCCATAGATATTCTCTCTGATAGTTCCTGTCATCAATATTCTTAATTTTTACTTTAATATTTAAATATTTTTCCTTAATCAAAATCATGCTTGATCAATGTGTTTCACTGAATTGGGGCGTTTTCCCCTCTATTTTCCCCAACCAATCATACAATTTGTTCCAGATTTCGTAGTAATCTGTTTCACTCTTATCCTTAAGTTCTAATGTCAACCTGTCCATTTCAGCATAAGATAAAATCTTAATTTATTACCTCTTCTTCTGAGGGTGTCTCACTGTCTTTCCATCTCTGTGCAAAGACTAATCTTGCTGCTGTTAGCATGTATAATATTAGGTATAAGGATCCTTTATTGTATCTATCTTTAGTGATACTCAGCAAAAAGAGTTCTGGTTTTAGCTCAATGTTCTGCAGTTGGAGCAATTGGAGAAGAGGGAAGAGGCCAAACCCAAATGGAGTACTTTTCCTTCTATGTCCTGGGAATTTTCATATGAAAATAGAAATTTTATACAAATCAACTGATTTTTCAGCCAGATTTCAAGTAATTCCCCTGTTATGCTCTTGCTCTGTAATGCAGAGCCTATTCTGTTCTGCTAGATATTTCAATTCTTTGGTAAGGCTGTAAGAGTCTGTAGAGGGAGGAAGACAAAGTAAAATCTATTAGGTAACTTTGCCTACCATTTGCCAGTTCATTGATAAACTTCACCAAAGCATTTTGGGTATTAACTTCTAAAACAATAGAACAGAATACTAGAATACTGATACCTGTAACGCCCAGCATCTGGCTGTGCTTCCTAAAAATACTGGAATTGTTCAACAACATCTGCACTGCCAAAGTTTTCCTAGCCCTTAACACTTATGACCCATTAAGAAAGTACGTTGATAAAAAAAATAATTAAAACCACACAATATTAGGTATAGAAAATAATTTTTCCCTACAGTTTTTGAATTATCCCATTTTATTGTGTTTTTCCCCTACCATTATTTTCAGAAGATATTTAGAGATACTAGTTCAGCATTCAGGAATGAGAGGGTCGAGACGTAATCTAGTTTCAAAGGTGCAGCAACATCTATTTCATTCATAATCACTTTTCAGCATTCATTTTAACTGCAAATTGTTTTGCGATGTCAGTCATAAGGTGAAACAGTAATCACAAATGTTCTCTTCCCTCAGGGGGATAATGTTCTTATCAACACATACAGTGGAGTGTTAAAGATTTCAGATTTTGGAACATCAAAGAGGCTTGCTGGAATCAATCCTTGCACTGAGACTTTCACAGGTATGTTCTAAATCTGAAAGCATATTGTAGAGTTCCTAATTTCAACGTCAGGAAGAATGTTCAAGAACATAAATTGAACATAATCTTTGACATTCCTAGTGGATGTAACATGCTCATTTTATTTGCCTTGGTTAGGAAAAAATACCCTCTATCTGCATTGATTTAGTTGTGTGCAATTCTTAAAAAGTGTAAATTAAGAGCCCTTATTTGAGCTAATGTTCTAAGTTTATTGACTTGAGGAATTCTAGGGAATCCTTCCCATTGGAAAATATGTTTAGGGAGTGTAGCATTAGTCATTCATGATGTAGTTCAGATAAGTAGTAATAATCATCTATTGATGTGCATAGCAATCTCCATTAATGTTATCAGCAGCATTCCTGATAATTGATTTAGAGGAAGTGCAGATTATTTAATCAGTCTGATATTCTGATCAAATTAAAGGCCATACATCACCATAACATTAGCTGGCTTAGGAACTGGGTGTGCTGTGACTCAGTATTCAATATTATGGCTGGGATTTGTATGCATTTACAAAAATGTATTAAATGTTATTCTGAGTGTATATTTCTTATAGAAAATAAAAACAACATAAATTTAACTTTGAAACAGTGAATAGATTTAGTTGCAGTTTTAAATTTAATAGATACAGCTTTGTGATTAGCCTTTCTGTACCTTGTGTTCCCAAATGTTGGATTCCATCTCCCATTGTGCTTACTATTGGATATATTGAAAAAGCCTGGTGGGGACTATTCAAAATAGCTAAAAAAAATAAATCCCAATTGTACCCATTTGCTCTATTGACTTGTGTCATACAGCATTCAGGAGTGTTACAAACACCTAGGCCAGTGGTGGCGAACCTATGGCACGGGTGCCAGAGGCTGCACTCAGAGCCCTCTTTGCGGGCACGCGCGCCGTCGCCCCAGTCCTAGACCTTCAGCTGGGTTTTATAAAACCTTTTCGNCTGTAGAGGGAGGAAGACAAAGTAAAATCTATTAGGTAACTTTGCCTACCATTTGCCAGTTCATTGATAAACTTCACCAAAGCATTTTGGGTATTAACTTCTAAAACAATAGAACAGAATACTAGAATACTGATACCTGTAACGCCCAGCATCTGGCTGTGCTTCCTAAAAATACTGGAATTGTTCAACAACATCTGCAGTGCCAAAGTTTTCCTAGCCCTTAACACTTATGACCCATTAAGAAAGTACGTTGATAAAAAAAATAATTAAAACCACACAATATTAGGTATAGAAAATAATTTTTCCCTACAGTTTTTGAATTATCCCATTTTATTGTGCTTTTCCCCTACCATTATTTTCAGAAGATATTTAGAGATACTAGTTCAGCATTCAGGAATGAGAGGGTCATCTGAGACGTAATCTAGTTTCAAAGGTGCAGCAACATCTATTTCATTCATAATCACTTTTCAGCATTCATTTTAACTGCAAATTGTTTTGCGATGTCAGTCATAAGGTGAAACAGTAATCACAAATGTTCTCTTCCCTCAGGGGGATAATGTTCTTATCAACACATACAGTGGAGTGTTAAAGATTTCAGATTTTGGAACATCAAAGAGGCTTGCTGGAATCAATCCTTGCACTGAGACTTTCACAGGTATGTTCTAAATCTGAAAGCATATTGTAGAGTTCCTAATTTCAACGTCGGGAAGAATGTTCAAGAACATAAATTGAACATAATCTTTGACATTCCTAGTGGATGTAACATGCTCATTTTATTTGCCTTGGTTAGGAAAAAATACCCTCTATCTGCATTGATTTAGTTGTGTGCAATTCTTAAAAAGTGTAAATTAAGAGCCCTTATTTGAGCTAATGTTCTAAGTTTATTGACTTGAGGAATCCTAGGGAATCCTTCCCATTGGAAAATATGTTTAGGGAGTGTAGCATTAGTCATTCATGATGTAGTTCAGATAAGTAGTAATAATCATCTATTGATGTGCATAGCAATCTCCATTAATGTTATCAGCAGCATTCCTGATAATTGATTTAGAGGAAGTGCAAATTATTTAATCAGTCTGACATTCTGATCAAATTAAAGGCCATACATCAGCATAACATTACCTGGCTTAGGAACTGGGTGTGCTCTGACTCAGTATTCAATATTATGGCTGGGATGTGTATGCATTTACAAAAATGTATTAAATGTTATTCTGAGTGTATATTTCTTATAGAAAATAAAAACAACATAAATGTAACTTTGAGACAGTGAATAGATTTAGTTGCAGTTTTAAATTTAATAGATACAGCTTTGTGATTAGCCTTTCTGTACCTTGTGTTCCCAAATGTTGGATTCCATCTCCCATTGTGCTTACTATTGGATATATTGAAAAAGCCTGGTGGGGACTATTCAAAATAGCTAAAAAAAAATAAATCCCAATTGTACCCATTTGCTCTATTGACTTGTGTCATACAGCATTCAGGAGTGTTACAAACACCTAGGCCAGTGGTGGCGAACCTATGGCACGGGTGCCAGAGGCTGCACTCAGAGCCCTCTTTGCGGGCACGCGCGCCGTCGCCCCAGTCCTAGACCTTCAGCTGGGTTTTATAAAACCTTTTCGCTTTAGGCCTCCGCTGCCGTGTCCCCCCCCCCCCAAAAAAGTTCAATCAATCAGTCAATTTCAACTTTTCGCAGGGAAAAAAAGATCTTGCAAAGTTGGAATTGATTGATTGAACTTTTTAGTCTCACCCAGTCTGCCGTTACCACCGCAGCCACGCCCAGCCAATGGGCCACACCCAGCCAATGGGCCACACCCAGCCAATGGGCCACACCCACCCGGCACCCAATGATGCATAAGTGGGTTTTGGGTTGCAGTTTGGGGACTCGGTCTCTAAAAGGTTCACCATCACTGACCTATGCTGAACCATATTGTGGAAATTATTGCTCTGCCACTGAGATATTTGTAAGCTTTCTGCCTGATAGCTCTTCGAAAACAGCATAATGTGGTAAACAGCTCTTTTAAGATTGTTCACTGCAGTGGATTTCCTTTGAGACTACTATGGAACTAAGCCCAGGGATCCTTAAACTATTACAAAATTATGACAAGATCAGATAGAAAAAACTAGATTTCTTGAGTCATATGGTCTTGGTCTTGAATCAAAAAATACAAAGTCATGCCAGCACACACAATAATTTTTATAATCGTAAAATCCATATTTTCTTGCTTTTTGTTTCTTCTTATATGAGAACCTCAGGGTTTGTTGTTAGCAAAGACAATTTTTAATTTTTTTGGGCACAGTGTGCACTGAATAATATTTTTTTAAAAGCACGGCCAGATTCTATTCATGTTCCAAATCTGACAACTTCAGGCTATCATATGGCTATCCTTGCATGGTTATTTCAGTGCTGTCCCCTTATACCAAAACTGCACAGGATGGATATTATTTTTAATGCATATTGGAAATAACATAATACTTAAGATATCTCCTCTTGCTGAAAACACACTAAATAACCTTGTATAAAATGTCAATGGCATTCTCCTTCCCGCAATGCAGGAAATGGTAGAAAAAAAATATTATAAATTAATAGCCTCTATTAACTTTTTCCCCACAGTCCTATGTACAGTGGAAAAATGCCTTCATCTAGTTTTTCTGTAGCAGTTTTAGGGGTAATAAAATAGCCTACTTCTTATATAGCATTCAACTTTTATAAACTAAGGTTATCATTACATTCTTTGTGTAATGTTTCTTTTTGCATTCTAAGAAAATAACTGTTTTTGGTTTTGTTTAATCACAGTTTTGTGATCTTAATTTCATATCCTGGTTTGTAAAGAGGAATTCAATCACAGTTTGCTGATTTGACTATAATTGATAGATTAGATTAAAGACAGATCAGAGGTGCAAGTCCAGTATCAAATGCAATCTATTAAATTAGGATAATTGAGTCTGAAAAAGCAAAGATAGGTGGAACATTCTAGTGTGCCATATAAATGCTCAATACTGTGACAGAAATGTACATTAAAATCTGGGGATTCACTTGTTTAGTATGTGCCTTCTTTCAAGTTGTTATTAAATATGCATAAATTACATCTGTTTTTCACAGGTACTCTTCAGTATATGGCACCAGAAATAATTGATAAAGGACCAAGAGGTTATGGAAAGGCTGCAGATATCTGGTCCTTAGGCTGTACAATTATTGAAATGGCTACAGGAAAGCCTCCATTTTATGAACTAGGAGAACCACAAGCAGCCATGTTCAAGGTTAGTTTAGATAATAACATTTTCTAAAAAAGGGGTTAAAGTAAACTGTGTTAAGGCTATGTTTAAAAAAACAAGATGATATAATACTGGCTGGGGAGGAAAACGTTAACAGCATGTTTTGTTCATATTAGATTCAACTGAACATGAAAGCATGCCACAGTAAACAAATGCTAAAATTTCTATGGAGATTCTCAGTCATCCAGGTCATAGTTATCCCAAAGATACTTTTTTCACGAGGCAACTGGACTTTCTTGTTTTTTCTTTGAAGACGTTTCGCTTCTCATCCAAGAAGCTTCTTCAGCTCTTCTTCAGAGAAGCAAAAGGTCTTCAAAGAAAAAACAAGAAAGTCCAGTTGCCTCATGAAAAAGCATCTTCGGGAAAATACCAAAATGTTATTTAGATTATCTTTTAAAATAATACCTATCGAAGAACAAAATACCGTTCTAAGATCCTTCAGCTAATGCTATTTTTAATGTGGAAATAAAAGAGAGAAGTTCCCTCTGTGATGAAAGATCTGCTTGGTTGTTGTTGTTTTTAAATTTTATTTTCATCTGCATTTATTAGGTTGGAATGTTCAAAATACACCCTGAGATTCCAGAATCCATGTCAGTGGAGGCAAAAGCTTTTTTGCTGAGATGCTTTGAACCTGATCCAGATAAGAGGACCTGTGCTAATGAGCTTCTTGTAGATGAATTCTTAAAAGTTACCAGCAAAAAAAGAAAGTCGCAGTCAAAACTAACAGGTGAAGAAATCTAACTGTTCTAGTTGGGAAATCTTAGATTATTAAGAATCATTATTAAAAAGCCAGGTTCCTTGACACTCTTTTGAGAATGGCAAGTCAGAACCCACTAACAGATATGCTTTTGAAGTAAGGAGTTTTGTCAAATGCTTTTAGAATATTACGTTAGTGTGTGTGTCGTGTAAATGCAGTATCTCCATTCTTTTAGTAGAAATTTGATATTACAAAGTTTAGCTGCGTTTTGGAGCCCTATTATATCAAGTTTCCTTTGTTTGACTTGAGCAGTTATGGATGTTACATTATTTTTGTTTTATTTTCGCAGCTCTCTCAGCTGGATCAAATGGTAAGTTTAGCAATTAATATTTTTTTCTGAGAAGCTTTAAAATGTTCTTAAATATAAGATAGGTTAGCTCACAAGAAATAAAGCTGTAAATATATGTAGCAAGAAGACATTCCTGAGGAATATTGCAAAACAAAAAAAAGAATTTTCATCTGATTTGTACATATATTACATATCTGACATACATATATCTCGACATACTAGAAAGATTTTTTTTTCTCCAATAATAAAGAGTTGGAAATGCAACAGATACATTATAACTATCCCAACCTTGTTAAGTGAGATATAGTGGTATCTGCTTTGAAACTCATCAGATTTAGTGTTCAGCACATTTTGACGTGAAAACTTTGACCCAATACTCATAGCTTGTTTGGTACTCAATGCACACCTTAGAACTTGTTGTCAGCTGTCTTGTGTCTCACTATATTATTCCATATGGGGGAAAATTGTTTGGTATTCATCATTTTTGGTACTCATAGCACCTCCCGGAACCAATTAACAGTGAGTACCAAAGTACTATTGTATTTTTTTCATACCACAGAGAACTCTTTTTTTTTTTTTTTTGCATTCCTACCATCGTTTTGGAATTGTACACAGTTAATACAGTTCTTTCATCCAAGATAATATAACCTCTGGGAGATCTTAGCAGATAGATTATATGTATTGGGGAGAATTGTTACGTTCAGCTGTTTATTACAGTTTGCTCCTCGTATATATCTTGATCATACTTTATTTCCTGTTTCACTGAGCAGAATATCTTCGAAGCATATCCTTGCCTGTTCCTGTACTGGTAGAAGACACAAGCAGTAGCAGTGAATATGGTTCAGTTTCACCTGACAATGAGTTGAAACTTGACCCCTTCTCCTTTAAAATGAGAGCCAAATCCTGTGGTGATAAGGAAGGGAAAGGACTTAGGTCTCTTTTTCTAAGGTAATTGTCCAAGTAATTAATACCTGTGCTAGGTTGTGAAAAAGAAAATCACCTTTTTAAAAACGGGGTTTCTTCATAGTCGTTTTTCTACTGTTAACTATCCACAGCATCCCAGATGAAAATTTTGAGGATCACAGTGCTCCTCCCTCACCGGAGGAGAAGGATTCTGGCTTTTTTATGCTAAAAAAGGACAGTGAGCGAAGAGCGACCCTTCACAGAATTCTAACCGAAGACCAGGATAAGGTAGTGAGAAATCTGATGGAAGCCTTAGCTCAGGTAAAGAAACGCATGTAATATGTTTAGCACTATTTTTTAAAACAAAATACATTGGCTAGTACAGGGGTAGGCAACCTTGGCTCTTTTATGACTCGTGGACTTCAACTCCCAGAATTCCTGAGCCAGCATGGCTGGCTCAGGAATTCTGGGAGTTGGAAGTCCACGAGTCATAAAAGAGCCAAGGTTGCCTACCCCTGGGCTAGTAAGTTGGGATCGAAACACATTGCAAGATTATATAACATTGTGGTGACACATTTCTTTACAGGTGGCAATTGGCAGGTTTTCAGGGATCCCCCAGAGCACAAATATATTTAAGTGCAAACAATTGCAAGATTAAGCTATAGTTGTACCTTCACTTCTCTGCCATTAATGCTCATCTACTTCTGAGAGATCCCTTCTGAAAATGTTATTGAGAAATGCTTATAGAATTATGCAGAAAAATAATAATTTCCTGACAATTAGGTATGTTCTGATTATCCAAACCAGAATCAGTTTTTCTATGTATTTGTCAGAAATAAAGCATAGAAGAGTTAAATACTGTACAAATTGTATATGCTTAAGTTTCTGCATTGTTAACATTATTTTGGTTTTCTGTTAAGACATCCTTGGTAGTATTTAAAAATCAATGGCAGAATGTTAGTTATGTTGATTTTATAAAAAATTAAGTAACGAAGTCGAATTATGCATTAGGTATGTAATGTCAAATGATGCTGAAATATTTTGAGAATGTTGTTCAAAGTCACTTATTTCTGTATATTTTATATCAATACAGAAAAAGTATTACTGGTATAAGTGTTACAGTGTAATAAAGAGACAACTGTAAATAGGAGTGTTACACTTTTGGATGTAACAATTACATAATGCAATTGTCCATAGTTTTCAGGGGTTTTTCTGAGTTTATGGCTTGTAAGACAACAATTAAAGTCATTTTGGAAGATCAGGACCAGAAAAAGACACATTGAGAGTATTGTTCTCCTTTGGGTTTCAAACTTTCATAAGAATCTGTTCTATTTCACATGTGCAAATTTCAGTCAAAGCCCATTTGAAACAGTTAATCTGATGAATATAAAAGAGGGTTTTTTGTGTGTATGTATTTTTGTTAAAAGTTTAAAGAGCAATAATAAGAACTAGTGCAAATTATATTAAACAGAGAAACAAAAAAGAGAGAAATAACAAAAAAGCTAAAAGTACAATTAGAAAAAAATAGAAGAAAATAAGAAAAAAAGAGAAAGATATAAAGAAAGATACAATGGTATAAGGGAGTAGCTTCTGATATTCCACACAGCAATCATAACTACAATTATATTTTATCCTCTATCTCTAAAGTTATATCATGACACTCTTCTTTCTATAATCTATCGTGTCTAATCTGTTTATCAATCAGTCCTAAAAGGAGAAGTTTAACTTCATTCAAATATTAATCTTTAAAATCCTCTGTATCAATGTATGTATTAGAAACCACTTTTTAAGCTTTTATAGCTTTGAATATTTCTCAGAAAATTAATATAGAAATTGACAAGAGCAGCAGAAACATGGAACTGATACCAATTGTTATTCCAAAAGAATAACCCTCACAGTATAAACACATTGCAGACATTGCATTTTAATATGTGGATGGCACATAGTTCCTTTACTTTGGTATTCCATGATTCAACTGTGTGTAGGTTTATGTCAAGTCTGAGTTACCCTTGTGGATGTGTAGATCTATTCCAGTGCTGCTCAGTCTGAACTATTATGCCAGTGATTCTAATTTTATCATTTCTAGGTCATAACATTTGAATTTACAAGAAAAAAATGGAAATGGTTTGCTTCAAAGTAACATTCTCTAGTGGCATTCCACATATAAAGGCATACTTGATATGCTTCCAGTCTCTTTTATGACTCAACTTTAATTAATCAAAGGCAAAGCTCATAACTCTTCCAAGGGCTTCTGTTTAAATTGTTCCTCAGAGAATTGCAGAAGATGGAAACAAAAGCTAATTCTTACTGAGATGATCTTGGATACAACTTTTACTAATGTTGACTGAGTTACTGGATGAACTATTTTGTACTCTGAATAACTGAAAACAACATTATTACATTCTCTTCAAATTGAACCTTTGTGACTTACGTTTCTCTCATTGTCCAGAATTCGGCATCCTGTTTCAACAGTCCTAATCATATACCATACCGCAAAAAGGATATAAACACCATAGTACAGGGGTTCTCAACCTTGGCAACTTTAAGACTTGTGGACTTCAATTCCCAGAATTCCTCAGCCAGCAATTCCTGGCTGAGGAATTGCTGGCTGAGCCAGGAATTTGCTGGCTGAGCCAGCAAAGCTGGCTGAGGAATTCTGGGAGTTGAAGTCCACAAGTCTTAAAGTTGCCAAGGTTGAGAACCCCTGCCATAGTAGCTCTTTCAAAACTCACCCTTACTACAAAAACATTCGTACCGGTAGTCTTTTGCCAGATCAGGGACCATATGTAACACGGACTATAGCTATATCCTTATTAACTGAAACCTGTTGGTTTTAATGCACACTTAGTAAACCACAAAAATATATGTAATATAGTTTTTTGGGAAAACCTCATTGAAATGGCATGGGTCCATCTCATCCCACTGAGATTGGCTCGCCAACTTGTACCGGCAGAAGAGGCATGCTGCGGGTTCCAGCTGGCGGGATCCAGGAGAATGATATGACATGATTATGAGAAGATGAGCAATCAATAAATTTCATAAATAAACAAATTTTATAAATAAAAATAAATATATAAAGTTTTGTTAAGAGATGGGCAGCAAATAAATAAACACACAAACAGGGAGCTATATTCTTAATTTTCATTAACACTATCCACAGTTATACAAATGTAATTAGCTATTTTTGTTGTTGTAACAGGGTCCTGAAGAGCCTAAGTTGAAATGGGAACACATTACAACTTTAGTTGCTAGCCTCAGAGAATTTGTAAGATCAACAGATCGCAAAATCATTGCAAATACACTTTCAAAGCTGAAACTGGAGCTGGACTTCGACAGTCATGGCATTAGCCAAGTTCAGTTAGTACTCTTTGGTTTCCAAGATGCAGTAAGTATATTTTGGGCTTCTTGTTTTGCTAATTTTAAGAACATAAGCAGTCCCTTGCTGGATTGGACCACTGGCCCATCTAGTCCAGCAGTCTAGTTCACAGTGGCCAACAAACTGCATAAGGAAGGCCATTAATCTCCCAGCCGATGACCTTCAGAGGCCATCAAGTCATGAAGATTATAAACATTTCAAATTTTTTTTAGAGGAGACTTTTCAGTTTAGATTAATTTCTGCATGGGCATCTGCTTAGTAATGATAGCTTGAGGCTGCATCCTTCCATTTCAGCAGATTATACAAAGATTCTGTTTCTTGGTGAACATGATGTTACTTTCTGATCTTGGAGATGTAGAGAAAAAGAGTATCATTCATTTCTCCAGCCCAAATGTTGGGAGGAAGGATAAAACATCTTTTATTGTTTCCAAAATTGAATAATCAATCAGAATAGAGCTGGCAGGGACCTTGGAGGTCTTCTAGTCCAACCCCCTGCTCAAGCAGGAGTTCCTATACCCTTTCAGATAGGTGACTGTCCAGTCTTTTCTTAAAAATCTCCAGTGATGAAGCACCTATAACTTCTGAAGGCAAGCTGCTCTACTGATTAATTGTTCTCACTGTTAGGAAGTTTCTCCTTAGTTCCAGGTTGCTTCTCTCCTTGATTAGTTTCCATCCATTGTTTCTTGTCTTGCCTTCTGGGGCTTTGGAAAATAAATTGAGCCCCTTCTTTTTGTGGCAGCCTCTCAAATACTGGAGTACTGCTATCATGTCCTCCCTAGTCCTCTTTTCTCTAGAGTAGCCAAACCCAAATCCTGCAACCATTCTTCATATATTTTAGTTTCCAGGACTTTAATCATCTCAGTTGTTCTTCTTTCCATTTTTTCCAAAGTCTCAACATCTTTTTTGTAATGTGGTGACCAAAACTGGATGCAGTATTCCAGGTGTGGTTTTACTAAGGATTTATAAAGCTGTACTAATACTTCACATGATTTTGATTCTATGCCTCTGTTTATACAATCAAGGATTGTATTAGCTTTTTTGGCTGTTGCTACACACTGCTGGCTCATATTTAAGTGATTGACCACTAGGACTCCAATGTCCCTCTCACAGAATAATAAGAGTATTATTATATATTTGTAGATTTCTAATGTTTATTTAGGTGTTACAGTTCCATTTCTTCTGTCAGTGAATGGTAGCTTCTTATTATTGTGTGATATATATTTGATAACTCAGAAAATAATTTATAGATTTAATAATAGGCATACACGTATTTAGATATTGTTAAATATGAAAAACCTTGCATAGAAGACAGATTAGTTACTGTTCATTAAGTAACTAAAATAACACAACATTTTGTGTTATTCTGGTTTGTAGAAATAAATTATAAATTAAGTGAATCCATACAAATGGGTATAAATTAGTCTTTCAAAAATATATTGTTCTTCAAATATTGATCACTTCTTAGAGGATAAACTGGTTATTTAAGAAGGGTGGTAGTGGTGAACATGGTATATCCAGACTGAACTATCTACATGATGATTGTTTAAAAATTAATAATAGTTTCACAATTCTAGTATCTCTTTCCAGGTGAATAAAGTTCTACGAACACATAATATTAAACCACATTGGATGTTTGCGCTGGATAGCATAATCCGTAAAGCTGTGCAGACTGCTATTACAATTTTGGTACCTGGTAAGATATTTGTCACTTTTTAAAATAATTTTCTGAACTAGGCTACTTGCATACTTAACATGGAAGGAAAAGCTGCTGGATTTGCCATACTTTATATACTTGTATATTCCTTTTCATTTCTGAGTTGTGAATATATATTAGTGTTACATGTCCTATGTATGTGCCAGTGTATCACATATCGTTCCTAGTTGATAAGATGTGGCCAGCAATATGACAACTTTCAAAGTAGTCTCCAGGTTAGAAATCATAGTTTGCATAGAATAATGTGAACTCGGTTTGGGTAAAAATAGAGTCACCTCTAGCCAAGATGGGTAGCTTATAAGTTTAATAAACAAACAAATACATAAAACTGGGCTTTGATTGAGCTTACATCATACTGACCAAAAATGATACTGTTGTTATCATTAGTAGGAATATTATATGTGGCGTAGCTATACCTTCTCTATCTTACTAAAAAGAATTATGTGAAAGCTTTAATAACCCAGGTCAATTATCTATGGACCACTCTGGTAGTGAAGAAGTCATATGGAAGGCTGTGATTTGAAATTTAAGAATAATGAATGTAATTGAAGAAAAGAAGGGTCAGTATGTTGTATGTCTGTGAAACTAAGAGAGGACAAAGATGTTATATAGTAGGTCTGAAGGAAGGTGATCTAAACTTGTGGAATAAAGCTCATAAACATAAGGAAGGAGCTAAAGGAGTAGGTTTAATTCTGAATGAACAGATATCATCTATATTATTGTGGTAATGTATGAAAATAATAATCCAAAGGTTGTGGTAGTTTCATGTTGCAGTCCAGTGAATGGTAATTATGACAGATAAAACATAATGGGTTTTAAGCAAAATTCTGTACTATTTTGAAGGAAGAAAATTGGGAGGGGCAATTTTTCTGTTAACTGACATGAATGGGTGAGGAATGTGACTGAATATCTGCTTAGAAAAAAGTCTGGGTTCTGAATTTGAATACATGGTTTCTACATACATCAATATGAACACATGACAAAAAATGAATGTAACTATGAAAGCATGATACATTTCATTGTTAATGATATAAACCTGAATGCTGCAAAAAAAGATACAGTGTAACATGAAGTTAAACTTAGTTGCAAAGAATGGCTGTTTTGATAAAAATAAAACCATGTACATTGTTTTAAGTGGCTGAAAAGAAATAGCAGTGAGCATTTGGCAAATTAGAATGAATTAAACATGAAGGTAATAATTTGGGATAAAATTCTGGTAGAGTGTTTTTTGATAATTGTGTGAAAATGATAATGAAATGTCAAAAAGTGGAACCGAAAAGTGAAAATGTAAGTTGTGTGCAGGAATTCTGATTGAAAGGATATGAATAGTGGCAGTGAGGAAAAACTAAGTACAGCAGAGTAGGATGTTCAAAACAAGTTAATATACTTGTTGTTGGTGTGATCCCGTTATGTGTATTAAATTTTGGATTGTATGATTCAATAAGTAGTATGAATCTGAAAATTAATGTATCAAAACCAAGATAGTTAGGCTTGATACAGAAATGCAAATGATAGCAAATTATATATAAAAACAAAGAAAAAAAAATGATAAATCTTTATAAAACGTTTAGCGAAATGGAAAAACTGATGGAGAATGTTTAAGATACGAACGTGCTGGTAGAAAGGCAATGGGTAGCATATGGTTTGTTCTGAGACATGAGGGTTTGATTAAAAAAATACGAAAATGGCGATGTCTAAGAATTTGGTCTTGCCAAGCCGGTTGTATGGAAATTAGAGTTCAGTATGTCAGGAAAAAGTTGAATGCAGTGGATAAAGGTATATCTATGGAATTTCTCAGTCATCCCAATCATGCTTGTCTCAAAGGTGATTTTTTTCACAAAGCAACTGGACTTTCTTGGTTTAATCCAAGAATTCTTAGATGAGAAGCGTAACGAACTGCTTCCAGCTATAATAATTGTGTGTAACATTTTTAACCTCAGCTTTTAAAAAAGAGCTCGGGGCACATATCTGGCACCACCCCTACCTGTGAGGTAGGATAGTCTGAGAGTATGCAGACATTGTGGGTGCTTCGTCACTCGAAGTTTTTAAGAAGAGACTGGACAGCCACTTGTCTTAAAAGATATAGGGACTCCTGCTTGAGCAGGGGGCTGGACTAGAAGACCTCCAAGCTCTATTGTGATTGATTGATTTTCAAAGAAAGAAACCAAGAAAGTCCAATCACCTTTTGAAAAGATAATAACAACTTTGGGATGATTTGGCACGTTTATCCCTTTCTGCCAATCCAAACTGGAATACATGATAGAGACACAGTCTTGAAGGCACTGCAAGGAAGGCAGTTGGTAAAGAAGCCCGGGACACAAGTGGTTTGTTTCAGTTCTTTGTGTTAAAGGATATGGCCAGAGAAAAAAGAAAGAGAAAAATATTGGAAGTGAATAGCTAACAGTGTAGATGATGCCAGTTGAAATACAGCAGTCGGTGTTCTTTGGTAAGAGATTCCTGGCAACAAATGGGCTGTGCCTCAGGAAAAAGGAAGGAGTTGGTGGCATATACATTTCAATCATCATCATCATCATCTTGCATACTTTATCTGCAAAGCTTTAATTGAATCCTGTGGGGAAAGGAGTCTAGAAAATAGTGCAATGCCAATTACTGGAATTGGGACTGGGAGGAGTATGCAGAATATTGAGGCAATTGAATAATGAGCATGTGAATAAACATAGGAAGGAATAGACAAAGTTATGTGATCTGAAATTTCCAGTGTGTCTACATAAATGTACATAATATGAGGAACACGTTTAATGCAGGAAAGTAAATATGGTTTAGCAGGTATTACTGAAATCTGGTGAGTAGAAAAGAAGGACTGAAGGATATAATTTATTCAAAGGGAAAGACAAAGGGCAAGCATACATTATAGGTTATATTTATATGTGAAAGAAGCGCCCACACATATTGCAATCCAGGAATTTGAGCATAAGAATAGGAGGAAAGGGAAACAACATTTTACTGTGTGGCTATGCTCTGGACCAGTGGTTCTCAACCTGTGGGTCGGGACCCCATTTGGGGTCGATCGACCATTTCATGGGGGTCGCCAAGCAAGGCTGTCCGCCATTTTTTTTGTCTGCCATTTTTTTCCCCTTTTCCGGTGGGTGCCTTACCTCCCTTGGGCTGGGCCAGCTGGTGGTCAGCCTGCTCCGTCTCTGCCACTTGCCAGATACACCTTGGCCAGCGCAGGGGGCGGAACCACGCATGCGCGGCGCTCCCGGGCAGGGAAAGTCCTCAACTTACGACCGGTTTAGTCCTCGACTTACGACCGGTTTAGTCCTCGACTTACGACCGGTTGGGGTCGCGGCATTAAAAAGGTTGAGAACCACTGCTCTGGACCATCAAGTGAGACAGAAGATCTAGATAATACTTTCCTAAACCATTTTATAGAATGATCGTAGAGAAGCATAATAATAATAATGAGAGGTTTCAATTATTTGGTCATCTGTTGGAAAATCAACTCAGCCAAGACTTCAAGATATATTGCAGGCCTTTTTATTTTCCAAAAGGTTAAAAGAAAAAGCAAAGTGATTGGCTCTCCAATATCATTAATAAGAGAATGACTGAAGATGTGTAAGCAGTAGCAAATTTGAGAGGAAATGATTGTGTCATCTTGAATTTTAAAATATTGCAGAAAGAGCAATGAGCAAAATGTAGTTTTCAAATAAAAATTTTAATTTTGCCAACATGTGACAAATTTCTGCCATTCATAATAAAATATATGTACATTAGATTCTAGGAGAGTCAGGTCCTCTAAGGCAGGGGTCCCCAACCTGCCAATGTGCGCACGTGTGTGCGCACGCCCCCTCACTCTGCTAGTGCCGTGGCTGCAGGGCACAAAAACAGGCCGCCACCGTGCCTCAGGGCACAAAAATGGGCCGCCACACTATGGGGCACAAAAATGAGGTGCTGTCACGGCGCAGGGTACAAAAACAGGCCACTGCTGTGCTGCAAGGTGCAAAAATGGCCGCCACTGTGCCGCGAGGCATGGAAACGAGGCATTACACCACACAAGAATGGGATAGGATTAGTATCACGTGGGCACTAGCCCTGCCCCTTTTGTGGCATGCATGTGCTCGCGGCCCCGCACACATGCGCGCGCATGCATGCATATAGAATGCTTCCCCCTCCCTTTTCCTCCAGTCCACCAACTGAGAAAGGTTGGTGACCTCTGCTCTAAGGACCCTGTGAACAGAGGTCAGAGGGAACACAAGAGGGTTAGAAATTTCTCAAAAATAAGGAAGAGGGTTTTTTTTGTTTTGTTTTTTTTTGCTGTTGTTTCCCCTGCAAACAAAAGTACTTTGGAATCAGGAGTTGCATGCCCGCTTCAGTGTGACTAGTAATCTCAACTTGTTATATAAAAGTGTTTTTAAGTTTATCATCTAGATCAGGAGTAGGCTCTTTTATGACTCGTGGACTTCAACTCCCAGAATTCCTAAGCCAGCCATGCTGGCTCAGGAATTCTGGGAGTTGAAGTCCACGAGTCATAAAAGAGCCAAGGTTGCCTTCCCTTGATCTAGATAAATAGCAGCTCTGAGGTCATAACACTTGCTTCCAATTTCATTGTTGTGATAATAAACAATTAAATCCCTTGCAGAGTTGAGGACACACTTCAGCTTAGCATCTGAGAGCGATAATGCAGATCAAGATGAGATTGAAGCTGAAGAGGAACATGCTCCTGACACAGCTGTTCAGGTTCCTTGCCTTGTATTGGATGATGCGGTAGCTACCTCAGGAGTGAGCACCCTGAGTTCAACAGTATCTCACGATTCTCAGGCTGCCCAGAGATCTCTGAATGTTCAACTCGGGAGGCTGAAATTGGAAAATAATAGGTGAGTCTAAATTTCCCCTATTTACAAAACTGGGTCAAGGTTTTAACATGGATGCATGTATCGTGTGGACATTTTTTTCTGGCTTTGTCTCAGGTTACCTTCATCAACCAGTTTACTTTATTTCAATCCAGTTTTAATATTGCACCAATCCTGCCCTGAATCAGTGGAAGGTGACAGGGCACACTGTCTCAGTAGAATATTACTGAGGCAAATTACAGCAAAACGTTAAGAGGGCATATATTTAAATTATGTGAAAAATCATAAGTAACCGTATTGCAGTAACATAACTTTCACATTATCCTCATGCAGCTATAATTGCATGCCATATTAATCACATTAATAACACCACCAATCATCTCAGTTACAATCATTCCTTACTCCCTACTCAGTGATGGCGAACCTTTTAAAGACTGTGTCCAAAACCTGCCCTGCCCCACCCTGCCCCCCGCTCCACCCTGCCATGCGCCCTGCCCCACCCCCCATCCTGCCCACCCACAGGGTCACTCACTGCCTCCACGGCCCGCCGCAGATCACCCAGGCGGCCCAGCAGAGCCATGGCAGCCACACCCTCCACCCACGCCCCGCAGCATCAACTGCATGCAACAGGGCGTGAGGACGGAGTCTTGAACCCCTGACAGGCTGCCATGTCCTTGGCTGTGCTGCTCCTTGCGGGCCGCGCACGGGGGTGACTCTCCTCCAGGGGAGCTGCTGATGAGGGGACAATGGGGGGAGGTGGGGCTGGGGCGACGGCGTGCATGCCCACAGAGAGGGTTCTGAGTGCCGCCTCTGGCACACGTGCCATAGGTTTGCCACCACTGCCCTAGTTCTAAATGTCTTTTGAGACATTTGAGACATAATATCAAGGAGACAGAGAATGAGTAGTAGGGTGTACCACAGGAGGGCAGCACCTGCAGAAAGCGCCCCCCTCAAAGTGGTCTCCCACTGCACCACACATGAAGTGGACACTTTTAGTAGACACTGCCTGGAGTGATCAGACTTTATTGAGAGTAACGTTTTGCTGCAAGTAGCCAGGCCCCAAGCCATAAAGGACTTTGTCAATCATAACACCTGGAATTGCACCTGAAGCAGACTAACAACCCATACAGTATTGTAAGGGCCCTTCTGATAACAATTTCCATCTATTATTATTCCAGTAGGAGCTCAGAATCTGGGAGTGTCTCCTACTTCTACACTAGCTCCTTTATGGAGAAACACAACTTTCTTCATAACTAAAGATGGAATTTTCCTGGATTCATTCGGCTATTTAGCCAATAGCCCAGAGCTGCTATGTTTTAGTTTTTTCTTCCCCTGCAAACAAAACACTGGAAACTGTTAAAGATTTGTGCTTGTGCTGAAGCGCATGGTTTATCTTACAGTTTAGCCAAGATCATTAATAAATCACAGCTTAGCTTTTTGAATATTTTCTCTGACAGAATTTTTAATCAGCTCGATTTCTTCATAATGTTGCTGTGTTCTGCCTATAAATACTTATGCAATAGGCAGGGAGAAATGATGTAATAAAATAAACAGATGAATTTACTTAAGGGGATGTTAGTCACATATAAGCACAAAAGAGCCTTCTGCGTTTGCGGTTCAGATAACCTGTTCCTGGTAGACAGTAGAGTTACCTTGAAGTTGCCCAAGGATATTGGGAGGGTGTTTGAACATTGCTAATGCAATACTGTAACAGCTTTACTTTTCAAAACCATTGATTTGCTCTTAACAAACAAATAAACCTAACTCCTTCTCATTTCCCTTTCATTTCTAACAGATTACTAGAAGAGCTAGTGCAGAAGGAAAGAGAATTTCAAGCCCTCCTTCACCATGCTATAGAAGAAAAAGAACAGGAGATCAAGCATCTGAAGCTTAAGACTCAACCAATAGGTGCTTATTTGAACTCCTCAAAAGTAATTGTTCTTCCCAGCACTTTCCAAACCAATATAGTCAAACCTTCCAACGTACTGCTTCCAATATACTGCTTCCCCCACCCCCCATTGGGATGACTTTTTCACCAACTAACAGTTCCTTTTAGGCAGTTAATCAATTGAAATAAACACATGGCACCTATTTAGAACATGAAAGGAGATGCGATTAGCTAAGAAGTCTCTACTTCTTTTTCAGATTTTTTTTTCCTTTTTGGCCAAAAGGGACGAATAAGTTAATTTTACTATCCTGCATTTATGCATTCACAAGGATGCTTTGGACAAAATCACATACGTCTTTCAGCCCTGTGTAAGGATTGCCCAGTGCCCATTTCCAGATAGTATTTCTGCATGCCACCACCTGCAGCTCATCATCTACTTGCAGGTTTTTATGTGAATGGTATTTTCCCTCTTACCTCTCCTCCAGAGGCAATATACCACACGTTAACGTACATGATGGAGACAGCTTGAACTGACAAGGTCTGTGTCAGCTGGCAATTCCAATTGGTTCTGCAGGTTTTCTATGGGACTACCCCTTTCCATCCAGCCTCCGATCTGCTCTCTTAACTCCTCACTCCTTTTTTGCTGTAAGGGAAGATCACTATCTGGCTTTTATAAGACATTTGTTTTTAATTAGGCCTCAATGTAAAGATTGAAAGCCCTGAAATTGGCTAACCAGTCTTTGTCCTAATAGCAATAGCACTAGCGATAACACTTAGATTTATGTACCGCTTCACAGTGCTTTACAGCCCTCTCTAAGCGGTTTACAGAATCAGCATATTGCACCCAACAATCTGGGTCCTCGTTTGACTGACCTTGGAAGGATGGAAGGCTGAGTCAGCCTTGAGCTGGTGGGACTCGAACTGCCAAACTGCTGACAGTCGGCAGAATTAGCCTGCAGTATTGCATTCTAACCACTGTACGACCACAGCTCTTTAATACATTCAATCTAATACATTCAGTTTTCCAAGGAAAAGGAAAGGACTTATCTCTTCCATTTGGTTTCTCAGTGGCTATTACTACAAGGAGCCCTGCCTCCTTACTTCCCTTCCTTATGTAACATTTTATAGTAGTATACAAGGCCTCATCAATCCTCACAGGTAAATGCCTTTCTCAATTTTCAGCTCTTCAATTGCATTTGCCCACCTGACAGCCATTAGCAAAGTGATACCAAAAATGTCTACTTGTTTTCCCCCCCACATAATGGTCAATAAGTCATCCCATAGTTCCAATAGAAAAAAAATCCAGTTGGTCCACAGTGAAAAGAAGAAAAAAAAGTGGTAATGCAGTGCATGGAGTAACCAGAGCACTGTATGTGTCAATTGGAAGAGGCTTCTCCCATGGTGAATCATGTTTGATAGGACTGGAATTTCAACTGAGGCTCATAGAGTGTTGTGTGTTAAAGCTGTCTAGACAAGAGCAAAACAGACTTTTCCAGGTATCCAGGAAGGATATATTGCGATGTCAGCAAGATCGTGGGCAGCATGGTTTCCTGTTGGTCTTAGGATAGGAAGGAAGCACAGAAAAGCAGCTGGGTGAACGTGTTTCCTACTCCTCTCAAGGAAAACAAGAACTAGGGTTTTTTTTATTATGAAGATGAGTAAAAATGTCACTACATACAATTAACTGCTGCTCAGTTTCTCAAAAGTGAATAGGGCTTGACCTTCTTCTCCTTCCTTCTCCCAACTTTCTGCTTTCAAAAAAGGAGTCAAGACTTTTTCCTTAAACTAAATAATATTTTTTTTTAAAAAAATGAGCTTCTTAAGTGTTTATTGGTTTTTACTGGCTTGGTTTATCCAGCCACAATGCCCTATATCAGGAGTAGGCAACCTTGGCTCTTTTATGACTCGTGGACTTCAACTCCCAGAATTCCTGAGCCAGGAATTCTGGGAGTTGAAGTCCATGAGTCATAAAAGAGTCATGGTTGCCTACCCCTGCCCTATATAGATGGGAAAGCAGTTACAGATTATATTAATAAATAATTATATACTGTAGCCCAGGGGTAGCCAACTTTGGCAACTTTCAGACCTGTGAATTCCCCAGCCAACCACGCTGGGAGCGGAAGTCCACAAATCTTAAAGTTGCCAAGATTGGACACCACCTCTGGGTACTAGCAAAAGATATATCAGCAACTATCTTCTTCTGCATTTTTATTTTTATCTCTGCCTTTGAATGGCTACTGATACAAATGAAATTCTGGATCTTTTTTTGATTTTGGTCCGATTTAGCATGCAGTTCTTAACAGGGTTATGAGAGAATTCCAAAACAAAGCCAAGAAAGTAATTGAATTCCGTATAGATTTGTATCTGTAATCCACGAAACTATGACTAAAATGCTCGTTGCATTTATACAGATTAAAGATTTATTTAAACTGTTAAGACTACTTTCAGAAGAGACTCTTTCTCTTGAAAACATGTTTCTAGTTAATTAAGGTTAATTACAGTTAGAAATCATAGTTAAAACCAACCCAGTACTAAAAAATTCATAATCCTTCATGCTTCACTTATGCGTACAGGGCTAATTTTAAGGATATCAATCTCTCATCATGTGTTTTCCAAATGTGTTTCATCATCCCCAACCAGTTTGCACCATTATAACAATACTTGCTGAGAGTGGTGGTAATTCCAGTTTAACTAATCTTGAGCACCTCAGAGTAGAGGGTGTGATATGCAATTTTTATGTATTAGTCTGGAAAAAGTGTAGCTACATTTGGAATTGTGTATCATCTTCTAACTATGCTAACTCATGTTAAAATTTTTCTAGATATTCCTGGCCTGTCTGTCTCTCACTTTAGTACACAAAATAGAGAAACTGAGGATCCAGATCTTATTAACTGGCTGAGAATTCATGGTGCTGACAAGGAAACTATAAACAGGGTAGGAAATATGTTTCTTGGGTCTTCTACAAAGTAAAATTACCTATCTACCCCCAATGCCAGAAGTTACTTTTTTTCCAAGTTATGTATGATAACATCTTCTATGACAAACTTCTTTTTTTACCCCTCACCTCCCTCCCCCCATGCCAGGCATATGGCCCTGGTTAAGTATGGAGTGTGTCTTTTGCTTATCTCTTTAACAGAAATTCTTTCAAAGAGAAAACTTCAGTTAGACTAGTCAAGCTAGTGAAACCTCTTCAGAGGGTTTTTCTAACAAAAGTTAGAAAACAAGTTTGAAAAGTTAGAAAACAAAGATAAAAAAGCGGTCAAAAAAGGTTTTATAGAGCGTTTTACATGTATTACTTTTACATCAATAGGCCTGAAATTTTTAAATAGCATTACTTCATTAATGCTTGATTATATTTCTTTGTAGTGGCTGACCTTGAGAATTCAGCTCATTTCAGTATTGATTAGTTTTTGCAACAGTGATAAAATGTGATGTGCCATAAAATGAATTATTGTATTAATTTGCTTTATATGTATATAGTTAATCCTCGACTTACAATAGTTCATTTAGTGACCATTCGGCATTGAAAAATGTGACTTATGACTGTTTTTCATAGTTACGACCTTTGCAGCGTCCCCACGATCATGAGATCAAAATTCAGGTGCTTGGCAACTCGTTTATATTTATGTCTTTTGCTGTGTCCCAGGAACATGTGATCACATTTTGCAATCTTTTGACAAGCAAAGTCAATGGGGGAAGCCAAATTCACTTAAAAACCAGATTACTAACTTATCAACTGTAATGTTTCACTTAACTGTGGCAAGAAAATTTGTAAAATTGGGCAAAACTCACTTAAATGTCTCACTTAACAACAGAAATTTGGGGCTCAATTGTGGTCGTAAGTCGAGGACTACCTGTACTATATTAAACATTTTGATAACATTTCAGGACAAATTTCGCCTTTCAGGACAAATACATGTTTAATAAGTCAGGCATATTATAAAAAACTGAGGGCAAAAATGGAATAATAACTTGCAGCTCCATCAGCATAACTTTTACTAAGCCTTTATTTTTTTTAGTTTCTAGCAGAAGAATACACACTGACGGATGTACTCTGCTATGTTACCAGGGATGATTTAAAATGCCTTAGACTCAGGTAAGTATTTTTAAAAAAAATAATTTATACTACTCACGATTATAATTATTTAATGAAAACTCTAAAGAATAAAAATATACTTTACCTTTATTGCTTACATTTATCATAAATTGTGCATGTGTTCTAAAATATTTCTCCATAAAGTTATTATGATACGGAGAAGAAGCATTATACACATCAAGGATATAGCTGTAAAGTATGTGGAAACAGAAGAAAAACTGATAGGTCCATTTTGTGCATAGGTATAGCTGAACATATGTTAATTTTATCATCTAATAAATGTTACTTTGTGCATAAAGTAACACTAGCTCTTGATTAGACAAGCCCAATCACTAGCATCATTTTGGCTTCTGAATTCTTTGAATATTTATCCTTGATTTGGGTTACAAGTCGCCACATTTTCCAATTGAAATTGAAGGTCTGGGACAACAAGGAGAACATGACAAATACCGTTTAGTCAAGACTACTTCATAATATTGATAACTGAAATTTTAAGGATGCCGATTAAAAACTAATAGAACTAGGGGATGTTGAATAAATAAGAAGCATTAAACACATTGGTATTTATAATAGCTTTTTTTGTAGCAGTGCAACTGCTAAATTATATATGCAAATCATTATAATACATCCATTCTCATTTGTTGCTCTTAACTAAATAAAAATGACCGTAATCTCTGATTTCCTTCTCTCTTCCCTTATCTTTTCTGCCTTCTTGAATCTATTCCCTAGCCTAAGGCAGCTTACAAAAAGCTTGCCTTGGTGAGATGGTATATTTGATTTTTTTAATATATGAAAAACACTAACTGCTGGGTTCAGTTAATTATATGGAGCACTACAGGTTCAGCATTGCTGAAACGATAATAGGCCAGTTTGTTCTTCAGAATTAAAGCCACTGGATACTGAACGTTAGAAAAGATTGGAAAGGTAATGAAATGTATTTTTAAAGCACCAACTTTAAGCTAAAATACAAGTTTTAACGTTGTGAGACAAAAAAAAAAAAGACACGGAGATATTTCTAACAAGCTTAATTGGAGCGCTCTGAGAGGATTACAGAGGTTTTTTTTAAATAGAATGAAACAATATATTAATAAGGACAACACCAGGTTGGTGCGTAAATGTCATTAAGACATACCAGAAGCAGAATCCCACGATTGAGAAAGTTCCCCCCCCCCATTTTCCCACCATAATCATGTGCATCACTTCACTTGAATATTAGTAGGAACTAAAATGACTGTGTTTCTGGTGCATAAATTAATTGCTGGATTAACCCATTTTGTGGGTTTTGCAGATTAAGTTGAATCATAAACAGTCAAATGACCTGGGTTCACACATGATCGGCCACCAAAACGCTAACCAGGGTTAAAAATAAGCAAGTTCAATGTTTTGTATAAATATAGCTGTTAAGATTCTCTGATCTGGTTATGCATGTTTATTTTTTTTACTATAGTCGGTGTTTTGTGATACTTGATACGGACTAAAAACTGCTATGACTTTTGTTTTACAGAGGTGGGATCATATGCACGCTGTGGAAGGCAATCTCTGATTTTCGAGAGAAGCACACTTGCCCCTGAGCAGAGGCAATCTTCCATCTCAACACAAAACAGGAGCTTTCCTGGAAGATTCCTCCCCCCTCCCCCCAAGAGATGCTGTTGCACTTTAATCCAGTATTTGTTTACTGTTGCTAAAGAACACTGCAGCTTTCTGGCTGCAACTATTCTTATTCTTCTTGAAAAATCGGTCTACAACATTAAATACTATTTTATCTTAAGTATTTTCAGGAATCTTCTCCCTTTCTAACCTACCATTTAACAAAATTCATCTTATCCAGACTGTTAGTTATATTCACACCACACGGTTGACCAAGGGAACCTTGAGGTACTTAATTGACATCCCTATACCAGTTGTGCATGATCCTCAGCGACTTGGTGTAGACCTTCATAGTCACTGCAGAGAGGGTCACCGAGCTAACATGTCCTGCTTCTTTCCTCCTCCTATCAAAATCAAATTTAAAAAAAAAATAGTGAGAGGAGAGAAGGAACATGACAGAGTGACTAAAAAGTTCTGATTTTGCAAGGCCTTTCTAGGATTTTATCTCTGTAGCAAAAATGGGGAAAGAGACTTAGTGCTCTATTAATCCTATCAAATCCATTTCCTTATCTGCCCGCAATTGATCAGAACTTTAGCCCTCTATAATTCCCATCCGTTAGTTAATTAGATTACAGTATTCACATGATATTTCAGTCTCCCTTCACAATCAGTGAAACATATTCTACCTACAGGACTTTTGTAAGATTGTATGCAACTGTGTATCACTAAAACAAAATCAAATGTGAAAATTAACTTTACAGGTTAATTGTGTAACCAGGGCCTGCATTAGGCATGGTGTTCCTGGGACTTTTGCTTGGAATACAAGACATCTGTTCATCTGTGAGAGGTTTCGGATGCAACCCAAATCATTCTTAAAGTGAAAGGTTCATAGTATTGCAGACAAAGACCCATGAGTATTGCCTTTTGAGGACTACATGTTTTGTTTAAGATCCTTGGACATTTTCCTAAACTGAGATGGAATCCATAAGTGAAATGATATGTAGAACATATTTGATAGTTTTTCATTCTATGCTGTATGCTGACCTTTACACCACTTTGTACTTAACAATCCTTCCTTAAATGTCACATTGTTTTATTTTTAGTAACTTAAATCCCAGTCTACAGTGTATTTGTGTCTTTTTTAGTGTTGTTTATGTATTATTGAACTGTACCAGTTACATATGCCTGAATTACATATAGTACTGTTAGCTTGTTTTAAAGCTATCCATTGTGATACACATTTAAAAAATAAAGAATTATACAAAATGTGGGCATATTTCTTAATTATTTTAACACCAAGTTAGTTTTAACAATGAAGGAAATTAGGATGATGATGATGATGATGATGATAAAATGAACAAAAATAGAAGAACTGACCAGAAAGAATATCTAGAGGTGCTGTAGTACAGAATTACACAGTGATTACCAGGATTATATATAATGCTCAAACATCTAGTGATTGAAGGCTACAATTACAAAAGTTGCCAGTGAATTCACACATACATTTTATTAAATATATATATGGCGTGAAAATATAATATTGGTTAAATGTGAATTTTTTTTAAAATCTTTGTCCTGTTACCTTTTTGGAGTATACTCAATAATATGCCATTCAAGGCCATATTCAACTCTGGGCCCCAACAATTGTATACACATGCTTGTACACCTATGCAGGTACGTCTGCCGTCTCCTGAGACTTTCCAGTTGTATTTCCTTAACAGTGGTACAGGGTCTCCATAAAGCCAGTGTCGGCAGGAAAACATCCAGCCAGATTAAATAGGACAAGAAGAAAAATAAACAGAGTAAATAAGTTTACAAGTAAGGCTTCCATATCTGGGCTGCAAAAAAATACAGACATTATAAGGCAGCAAAGAATACAAAAACTGCTAATCTGAAAGGATCCTTACTAGATCCTTTCCTCAGGATTCCACTTTCTGTCTGTTTTCCCATTTAGTGTCTACATGAAAACCAGTGGAGGATGTCATTATCAGTTCAAGTTTAGATATCATAAGCATTTCAGTGATATCTAATTCATATATCTGCACTGTGAGCTAAGTATTGCCATCAAGGTCGTGTCCAGGCTGTGGGGTCTGGCTAGGAAAGAACAGATCCCAAGCAAGCCAAGCAGTAGATGTTGGTTTGGAAGTCCCTTGGTTTTGCAGACTCTTCACGTTTTGCCCTCCAAACACTCCCACAAACAAAACTGGCGCATAAAATAAAATTACTGAGAAACATATTAATATATTTGTTGGGTGAATTGATGCTAAAAATGTTGAAAAATATTTAAATTATGAAGAATCCTTTAAGCGTTAATGCAAAACACTATTAACAATGAAAGTTAAGACTTGCCTGATCCATTTTAATCTGATAAAAGACTTGAGGAACAAGAAGTCTATTTAAATAGAATCCTAATTGAAGTACACTTCCTGGTGAAAATACAGTACATTGTCTCTTCTACGTTGTTTCAATATCGTTTATGATGCTTTCCTTCGGTTGGAAGCTGTAGTTTATTAACTTGCTACAACCACCCTATGGAATAAAACGTTAGCATTATCAGCGCGGGCTCGACCTCCCTTGACTTTGACACCAATTTATTCAAACGTTCACCGCTCATCATGTCTACCGGGTATTTTTTGTAGATTTCGATTTCGGCCAACAGATTTCCAGTTTTAATTAGCAGCTGCTCTGGCGGAGACATTAAATTTTGCACGCGGTTTTTCGCTCGAGCTTCTTTGCGAACGTTTTTTTTTATATATATATAGAACCGGCAATGACTTAAGACGCCACCATGGGAAGCTAAAAATAAAAATAAAAAATGAAATGGTATTAGTGAAGCCGCAGACACGATGAAAGCAGCCGAAAAAGTTAAGAAATCGACACTGGTCAGAAAAATCCAGTTTCACAGAAATCAAGGGGCTTTTGCTCCTTTTTATTATTATTTATCGTTTTCAATTCCAGACTGAGAAACCCTTTTTTCTTTTTGGTAGCAAATCCTCCGGCAGTTGCATTCAAAGGAAACCTTCTCCCACTGGCGTTCCTCCACCTTAATGCCTCTCAAGCCTAAGTAAGTCGGTAACAGGAAGTCAGCATGCCTGGAAGCATGAAATGCTTATCCGATGCCTTTTTTTCCGGGCTGCACGAGTGTACTGAACCCCCAAACTTAACAACATCGCCTTTTTACTCCAGACTAAAAGACAGCGCGTTAGTTTGCCATTCGGCGCGTGGAAATCTGAGTGTGTGGTTTAGCCCTCCCAAGCTGCGGTTTAGCCCTCCAGAGCTATCTTCCCCACAGAGCATCAGCCGTAGCCTTCTATCACTTGCCCGCCAGAGGGCGCTTTGCGGGCCGAACAAACCCCCGGGAGCCGATCCTACTTTGATCTCCCTCCTCCAGGCAGGCAGGCAGGCAGGCAGGCAAGCAGCCTGCCGTGACGCGCCCGCCCGCGCGCGCGCGCTCTTTCCCCGTCTCACCTGCCCGGGCCACGTTCCGTCCCCCGGGGGTGGGGCAGAGGCGCTGTTGGGCGGGGCGGCCGAGAGTTCGCCGAGGCGAGATGGCGGAGTCGGCAGCCCCCGCCGCCGCTGCAGCCGCCGGCCACAAGCAGGGCGAAGCGTCTTCCGCTGCCGAAGCAGGTGCGTCCCCCCCTCTCCCGCGCTCTCTCCCCTTTCCGAACAGGGCCCCCTGGAAGAGGCGCACCTGGGGCTGGAGCCCCCCCCCTCTCTCTCTTCCCTTCCCTTTCCCGGAGACCGGTTTGTCCGGGACGGGATCCGGATGTTATGCAGCAGGCGGAGGGTGCAAATACTGTAAACACCAGGTGCGCTCCGAGCTGGTGGCGCGCGAGTCCTTCAGCAGGGAGAACGGCGGCGCCGTGGTTGTGTTAGCTGTATAGTGTGTAGGGCGAGAGCTTTCGGCGGCGGGAGTTAAGTTTTGAGGATGGGGGAGACCTGGACCTCCCGCGAATGGGGGCGACGAGGATTCGCGTTTGCGGCTGCTTTGTTGTAACTTTATTGTTAACTCGAACGGCGATGCTTCAGATGTCATGGTCGGGAATAATAATAATAATAATAATAATAATAATAATAATAATAATAATAATAATCATCATCATCATCATCATCATCATCATCATCATCATCATCATCATCATCATCATCATCATCACCGGACTACGTGAAAGTGTGAATGTTCGAAAGGGATGAATGGCTTCACGAATGGAGGCGAATATACGCGTCCTAGGATAATGTTGCGAGATCCGACCGACCCGGATTGGATCCTGAATTAATGGCTTGTGTGTGACAGAAGTCCCGGAATAGGGGTTTTATAGCAGGTTCCGTCTGCTGCCTCGTTTATTCTATGCCTTTACGAATTAATTCAGTAGGCTGTAGTCTTCTATTACAGAGATGCCTGGACAGGGAACTCAGATTTATGGAAAACGTTTTTGTACTGCCTTGTGTTGTGCTTGTTAAAGGAAGGCCTTACAGAGGAACTGTCAAATCCAGTGTGAATTCCTTCTGTTTGCTGTTTTGCTCAGTGTTTCTCAACCTTGACAATTTTAAGGCATGTGGACTTCAACTTCCAGAATTCCACAGCCAGCATTGCTGGCTGTGGAATTCTGGGAGTTGAAGTCCACATGCCTTAAAATTGTCAAGGTTGAGAAACACTGTTGGATCAGATCCCCATATTTATTTAGTCGAATCTTTATTTCAGTGGAATCTTAAAAGAGTGGAATCTTAATGCAGTATATTCCCTGTGATTGATTCTTGAAAAATTGTGCGAACAATTTAGAAAAGGCAGAGCTGTTCCTCCTGAAATTTGCCATCTCTGCTCAAAAATCAGGCTGGTGTACACCTTTGTAGGAGGAAGGTAATCAGGAGAGCAGACACCTGTCATTTGCATTGAATTGGCCACAGTTCTTTAGAAGGAATATGGTATAATATCCTTGTGACTCAATCCTGTAGGTGGAGCAGTGGCTTTACCCTGCCATGTTGTAAAGTACAAGATGACTTGGCATGGATAATAAAGCCTAATGTCTCCCTGGTGCAATTTATATTTCAGTGTCATCACCCGATCTTTTGAAAGGAATTGTGGCCATGAAATTGGTTCATCCTTATGGTCACATGTGATTAATTTCCCCATATGAGCAAATCAGCTTTATAATTCTCCCCATAGGAACCATCTTTATCACAGAAAAATGTCACAACTCCACACCTGGCTGTTCACAACTGGTCTTAGGCTCCCATTTTGAGATAGACAGGACCTCCATATCTGGGGTACAAACATTCAGATTAGCACCTTTTGAATTCTTTGCTGCCTTCTAATGTCTGTGTTTTTGCAGCCCAGATATGGAAGCCTTACCTGTAAACCTATTTACTCCGTTTATTTTTCTTCTTGTCCTATTTAATCTGGCAGCATTCAGACATTCTAGTACAAACAGCCTTAACTGTGAGAAACAACTTCTTAGTGAACCTGCTGAAGACTACATATTCATTTGCTCCCTCATATCTTTCCTGTAGGCTTCGCAATGAATTTGAATAGATACTCTCGAGAAACGTAAGAATAGATTAGAAACAGTTTTCATTTAAATTAATGAACTGGGTGTTTACAGACTGTCACCGATATTTTTACTGACACAAAGGTTCAGATTTTGAATTTGGAATATAAAACCCAATCAGATTGCCTCGTGTCAGACCTTACCCATAGATTTATGGTTCAAGAGTGATTCACACCTTTTGCTTTTTGTACCGTTTCATTTAGTTTTTAAAATATTTATACAGCGCTAGTTTATGTCATCAGCACTAGGATCTTCTGCTCATTTTTCTTGCAAGGCTTGTTGTAACTTGGTTGGTAGTCCTTGGAGAGAATAAGATTTTAGCACAGCAGTTTCTACAGAGTGTGGTTAATCAGATTTGAAAGCTTTCTGCTAAAAGGCGGGTATGCGGGTATGTGTTTTGCATTCAAACAGTGTGTATGGAAATATATGCATGGATAACTTGCTTGGAGTGACTCATAGCAATAAATTTGGACTTGTACCCAAAAATATAATTATCAAAGCTGTGCATACTGTGTGTGATTAATGGTTGGACATTTTAATTTGTACTAGCTTTCAGAACAGAAATAGCCAATTCCATGTTCACTGTGTTCTCATTTTAAGTGTGACTAGCATTACATATGGTTGGGATATCTTTGTATTTCCGTGTTTACTCCTATTCATGCCATAATTATATTGGTGAAATCAAATATTGAAGTAAGCCTTGTCTTGCCTTCACTGTTTCGTTTGTGCATTGTTCCATGCTTTGGGAGGATTTTTAATTTTGGCATACAGAAATTGTAATTTTCATTAAATAAAACACAGTAGTTTCCTTGAAACAATTTCCAGAGAGGTTGAAAATAAAGTTTTGAATAAGAATGTGTATGAGAGGGAGTAGGATAGGATAGGATAGGATAGGATAGGAGTTGGAAGGGACCTTGGAGGTCTTCTAGTCCAACTCCCTGCTCAGGCAGGAAACCCTATACCATTTCAGACAAATAGTTGTCCAATCTCTTCTTAAAAACTTCCAGTGTTGGAGCATTCACAACTTCTGGACGCAGATTGTTAGATTGATTCATTGTTCTGTCAGAAAATTTCTCTTTAGTTCTAGATTGCTCCTCTCTTTGGTTAGTTTCCATCCGTTGCTTCTTGTCCTGCTCTCAGATGCTTTGGAGAATAGCTTGACTCCCTCTTCTTTGTGGCAACCTCTGAGATATTAGAACACTACTATCATGTCACCCCTAGTCCTTCTCTTCATTAAACTACTAGACATACCCAATTCTGTTTTTGACAAACCCATGTTGGCTTTTGGTTATGATTTTGTTTGCTTCTAGGTGTTTTCTAGTTCATCTGATCATGTTCATACAGGTTGATAGGTCTGTACATCAGCTCTTTTCCAATACTCTGATAGTTCCTCAGTGCTCCAGGATCTTTGAAAGATATAGTTCAGTGGTTCTGAGATCACCTCTGCCAGTTCCTTTAGAACATTGGGTTGTAATCCTTCTGGTCCTGGTGATTTGAACTTGTCTAGGGTGAACAGGTGCTCACTTACCATTTTCTTGCCTATTTTAACTTGTGCTTCTAATCTGTTTTTACGGTACTGTTTTTGATAGGTTGGACTGTTTTTTCCCTTTGTGTAAAGAGGGATGCAAAAAACAATTTAAGTCCTTTCTCTCTGTTGCTCATCACCTTCTTGCCACTTTCTCCCACTAATGGACCAATCGTTTCCTTGACTTATTTGTTTTTTACATGTTGAAAGAGGCTTTTTTTTGGTTATTTTTGAGTTTTGTCACAAGCCTTAGTTCATTTTGAGCCTTAGCTTTCCTCACTTCATCTTTGCAGGCTCGGGCTATTTGCTGATATTCTGCCTTAGTTATTTGCCCCTCTTTCCACTTTTTATACTTGTCTTTTTTGTCTTTCAATTTATCAGAGAGTTCTTTATGCAACCATGCTAGTTTCTTCTTCATTGGTATTGTGCTATACTGGGCTTTTATAATTTCACTTTTCAAATAAAAATCAATATATCTAACAAAGCTCTTCTCACCCAATCAGGTAAATAATTATAACTATTAATTTGCCTTTACAAAGCTCTTCTCACCCAATCAGGTAAATAATTAGAACTATTAATTTGCCTTTTTTGTTCACTACATATAGTAATCAAGCCATATTTTTTTAATGAGAAAGAGAAATCTTGCCCACTACTGTGATTCATTTTAGTGTCAAACAATGCTGCTAGTATAAATACGATACAAAATGTAGAAGTGATGAATCCCTTGCCCAGTGAGATTTCAACTCACTTTGGATAGATCAAATAGGAGTAGAATGATATAGAAAAGTGAAAAGACTATAATGGCATGAGACAATGGGATGTTATATGGCTTTGGTGAAAAGGCTGGTAATTGGGATAAAGGAAAGATTTTCAGAAAAGGCTTTTGCTCAAGATTTGGTATAGAGCAGGGGTCCCCAACCCCCGGTTCACAGCATGCCAGAAACTGGGCTGCGCAAACAAGTGAAGCCCCATCTATGGGATGCAGGTAGCACACGAAACCACGCCCCCTCTGGTCCACAGAAAAACCTCTCTCCATGGAACCGGTCCCTGATGCCCAAAAGGTTGGGGGTTGCTGGTATAGAGGGTCAAAAATCATAGTGGAAGAGTCTAATAATGTTGTAAGCACTTCCGAAGGAACAGAAATGAAACTAGGGCATCAAGATAAAATTCACACTTCCTTCCTTTCCAAAATTATTAATGTGAAAAGAATGAGAGGTTAATTCTGCCAGTTACAAGTATGCATTAATAATCTGTTGTTATGCAGAGTTAAATTCCCTGTGATTCCTAACAGTGCATAGCATTAAGCTGATAAATAGCTTGTTTTCCTCAGTTTTCTATGCCTGCCTTCAGAAGCAGATGGATCTGAAAGCCAGTATCAGGGGAGGCATTTCTTCAAGCATTTAAGTTTTGGGATTTGAAATAATTTAAGCTGTGTATGAACATATTTGATCCATCCAAATTGAATTCAGTTAAACGTGTATCTAGAATAGCTGACTTCTCAGCCCTGGTTATCCTTTTCAAAATTAATGTTCATCTGCGTCACTGGGCTTTATAAG